CTGAACTGCTTTGTGCTGCATCTGTTTCACAACCAGAAATTTTCGAGCTGCAAACTTTAAGGTCACCTCCTGAAAAGCGGCCTCGTCGCCAAAGGAAACATCTCGAGCCACATGTTCACGCTTGTCATGACCTGACATCTGCAGCATCTCTTTCTCTTCCTGCTTTTCTTCTTGCGCCTTCTGCTTGACTGCCTCGGCCTTCTCATCAACCACAGCAGATGGGGCTACACTGCGCGCTGGAAGTGCAAAAGTAACTTCTTTTGGATCAACACCACGTTTCTTTGTAGGAATCACCCTGCTCCCCAAACCAACCTTGTATTGCCATGAGTGCAAGTTCAGATTGAGATGGAATTTCATATGAGTACGCCAGTTTGTATTGATCCTTCTCATTGACCTGGTCAACAGTAAAGATGTCCCATTGTAAAGCAGAAATCAGTCCTGGTCCCCGACCTTGCCCACCAAGATCATGTGCTCCCATCTTGGATTGCCCTTCAGGTTCGACCTGCAGAAGCCAAAAGCCGGCCCCCCATATTCACATGTAAGTCCAGCGTAGGGCTTAGCTGGTCAATCCACGGTATGGGTTGTATCGATTGATGACCCAAGCTGCATGTCTCATGGCCCAAGCCCACAAAGCGTAACTTGAACGAAATTGGATTTCAGGCGGTCTTGCAGGGCATGCATGAAAGTGCATCCAACTCCTGTGATCCTAGGCATTGTGTTTTCCACCAAACCATGTCCATGTGCATAAGCTGCTGGGATACAAAGCCGTGTGACCAACCCCATGTGTTGTCGAGTTTGTATGGTCAACTTGCCACTTGCATGATGCTTGGTTCACTGTCGCACCTCAACTCAACCTCATTGTAACCCAATGTAGAGCAGAAAGCAACCAACTCCCTTGTCAAGAGGCAAAACTCGGCTTTTGAATTGAGAGGTACAACTCCCAAGCATCCAGTCTTTTTGTCCACCATGGCCATTGCAGTAAGAGCGTCATCTCTGTTCATCTCGCCTGCAGCGCTGTGATCACTTGAAGCTCGAGTGGAGAAGAAGAAGTCAAAACTCACCACAGGGGGTAACATCCCCAACCGCCTCCTCCGCCGACGACTCAGGGTTGGACTCATCCACACCAGCCCTCGACAGGAAAGGTCGCGCCGCCCTTGGGCAACTGGTGTTTTTTGGCGCCTTTTGTTCTTTGCGCCTTGTGCTCATTTGTTTGCGCGCCATTATCAGCGAGCGTTGCAAGCTTCGGCCAATTGTTTGAGAAAGTGCAATGGAACATTCCCAGCAGTGACACCAAGTTTTTTCTGGTTGCCATTGACAAGTCATAATTTTGTGGCTGCGACTTGCTTCCTGAAGCTGTCCTTCCTAAACGCAGTATCTTGTCATTTTTTCTTTCGTTGGTTTTTTGCGCATTTCACGCGTAAGTTGGCAACCTTTGTGCTTATCTGGGGGGTTTTGGTTTTTTGTCCCGCTTGACAATGCTGGTTTCTTCGTTTTTTGTCCTTTCTTCAAAGTTGATGTGCGCAGTTCCAACATGTTGTTGATGCAGCCACCAGGCATCACCACCAATCATCACTCACGCGTACATATGATCGCTTTAAAAGGAAAGAGATGCTGTCACCAGGCTTCTCCACGATGTTGACGCTGATGTTGCACTTCTCCTCAGCCTTGAACAGGAAGTGGTTCATCGTCCCTTCCTCCAAGAATCATCATATCATATCGTCCACATGAATGATTGCAGTCATCTTGGGTTTCTTGGCGAGGCATGGGCTGAGCGGGCAGAATTCCAGCGCAAACTGGTCCTGCAAATTTTTGGACACGTTTTCAAGCCAATGCGTTGGTTGACCTTTCCTGTTGTTTTTTCTTTTTTTGTTTTTTTTTCTCTTGCCCCATTTTTCTACGTGCATTGCAGTTGTTGATATTTTGCGATCTTGTGCATGGTGCTCTATGGTCATTCATTTTTCCTCTTCTCGTTTGATGCTATACCGACCTCGCTTCTTTTTTATCCCTATATACTTGGTCTGTCCATGACTCCTGGCTACCCCTGCTTCTACCAATCATAGGTTTCCTGTAGTTGCGTATTTGGTTCTGGGATGCTTGTGGTTTTTTTGGCTGCTCGGGACCATTTTGTGGTAAGATGTGGACGGTAAGAGCGCGCTCTTCATCCTGGATCTCCGTAGTTCCCAATCTCAGTCCTAGCGGTTCTTCTTGAGGCACCTGTACAAAGGCGTGCTGAAAGTCGATGCGTCCAAGTACTGGGGCATCAGAGAACGACCATTCATAGCCCCTCCGTCCACTGCAAGTCACTAAAAGTAGAGACACGGCAACATCCGAGGTAGGTGTGCAGAAGAAGCAGGCGAATAGGCATCGCTTCGCCCACCACCTTGAAAACCATAATCTCGTGCCACCAGTCTCGATCGTCCTCGGCGCATCTTGACCATATTTCCTTCTCCCAAGTCTCTGGTCTTCAGTCCCCAATCATAGACACAGCGAGTTGTGAGAACCTTTTGTATGCACCCGCCATGGTGAGCCTTTCCATCTCAAACGCACCACCTGCTCTGTCAATCTCAGCTAGAGGTGTGGGGGGACCAACATCCATTGGACCATCAAAGCGGAGACACTCAGGGGGTCTTCCTGAACCTTCATCTTTCGTCCCTGGCTTCACACATATCATATCCTCATCCACCGTGCAATAGGTTTCTCATCCAAACTCGAAACGCACTTGTGCTGATCTTCTCTTCAGCTTCTTCTTCGGTCTGTCGTTGCGTGGGTGTAGGCTTGAACTTCTTTGTGGGTGACGTTTCGGCGCCATCTCCAGTAGGCCTTGCAGTTGGAGTCAAGGGAGCCTGAGCGGGCGCGCAAATTAAATTTATGAGGCCTCGTCGAAGAGGCAGAAGCAAGAGAAGAAAAATTGGTAAGGCCAGGGAAACTTGATAGCACATCTGCCACAGCGCAAACCAGATTCAATGCCGACATTTTCCGCTGCCAAGGAGGGAGGGTGGGGTATGTCAGACTTGCGCCAAAGCAATTGTTTGAGAAGCATCCATGCTGACTAACAAGTGCTGGTGCAGGACAATAGGGATTGGAGGGTGGGTCCAGTGTCAGCTTCGTGCCGCTTTTGGCCCAAGCTGGCGTCTGGATTCGTCCCACCTTCCTCTCCGGCCTCCCTGGAGATGCCAGCTTGAATTTTGAGACAGCGTTCCACCGGTACTTGCGATGCAGAGGAGCCCGAGAGTGGGCGCACAAACTAAATCTATGAGCCTCGTGGGCTTGGCAGAAGCAAGAGAAGAAAAAATTGGTAAAACCAAGGAAGCTTGATAGCACAGTTGCCACAGCGCACACCAGATTCAGTGCCGACTCGCAAAAGGATTAGGGTGGGCATTGCAGAGTTGCACCAAGTTGATCAGGGAAAAACGTTTCAATGACACAACGATGGAAAACAGAATTGTTGAGCCCCGGGTAATAAATTGATTTTTCGTATCATTGGTGTATCAGCGCATATACCGCAATCTGCAATGGCCCCTGACCTTTGGCTTTGCCTTTGGGAAAGCGGCCGTTGAAATGGTGTGATTGAACAGATGAAAATGTGAAAGTGGTGGAGTGCAAAACCTTGTGTGTTGTTCTGACCGGAAGGACGTGCATGGGTTTCTGTCATCATGTAGAGTGTGCTTGGAATGGGCCTGTGGGGAATGGTTGGTCAACATTTTTTTCTTGCCCGAGCGGGTGTGTATCGTCACAATCTGGGCAAGTGTGGGTTGATGTAGTTGTGTTTTGTTGTGTTGCATGCATGCCTGTATTTTCGTTTTAATTTGGGCGAAAGCACGTTCTTGATGTGGTTGTGATGCTGTGGTGATCTGTTCATGCATTGTTGCAGCACGGTGAGCCCACATGGTATCAGCCTGTTGGCCAATGCCACATGGTTTGCAAATCTAAAGTTGAGACTTTGGAAGTAGCAACGGAGACTTATGTTAAGAATGATTTTATTTGTTTTTTTTTTACGATTTCGATATGAGGAATTTTATTGTTTTTTTTTTATCGTTTTTCATTCATGATTTATTTATGATTGAATTTATGATGAAATTTATGATTTCTGGACCGCTTGGGCCCGGGAGGGCCCGGCCCTCGGAATCATAAAACAATCATTAAAAGTAACCATAAATATTTTATCATATCAAATTATATAAAAAACATAAAATTCTCATTAAATTATAAAAACATCAGCAAAAATCACAAAGAACCGTAAAACAAATCCTCAAAATTCATAAGAAATCATAACATTTTCATAAAACATCATTAATTTTTTTGATCATTTGATGATTTTTTTTACCCTTTCAGATTCAAAGAAATCATAACATTTTCAAAAATCATGAGAAATCAAATAATTTTCATTAAAAAACATAAATTCTTCATAAAACATTAGAAAATTTCATTCAACAAAAAAATTAAATAGGAATTCCATTTTTAAAACATAAAAATCTTAAAAAAAAACGATTTTTTGATGTTTTTCTTGCCCATCCGAATTCATAAACAAATCATTTTTTTCATCAAAAAATCATGAAATTTTCTCAAAAACAATTATATATATATTTTTTTCTTTAAAACATCATAAAAAAACATCAAAAAATATTAAAAACAACATTTTTTTGTTTCTTTTGAAATGTTATATACATGTTTCGTTTAATGACGATTCCGAGACCCGGACTCTCCTTGGCCCAAGCGGTCCCGAAATCATAAATTCGTCTTACAAAAATCATAAAATATATATCTAAAAATTGTCCTTTTTTTCTCCGACATAGTGAAATCATTAAAAAAACGATACAAAAATCAAAAATGAAATTATATAATTCTTATTCTTGTTTTAGCTAACTTTCAAAGTCTCAAATCTAAAGCTGGGGCAGCCAAACCCGTTGAAATATGCCTATCCTTCTGTTCTAACCAATGTCCACGTCATGCAAATTTTGGCTTCTAGTCTGGAGTTTTTCTCCACTGGCCTGTTTGGAGCAATGGCCGATATTCACATTTATTTTGGTTTCTCGACCTATTTGAACTGTTTCAGGTGCATGCGATTTTGCGTGTTGCATGCACTGTGAGGTTCCCAATCTGGCACAGCCGAAAGCTTCAGCGAAGATCTCAAAGAAGAGGCTGCAATGATTCATTCTTCTGGAGGGTTCCGATGTTGTTGTGGCAGCTGTTGCATTGCTTTTGAAATCTTAGTTTCACCGCAAGTTTTTAGACGTTGGGTACTGAAACAATCATGCCCGCTAAAGGTGGAGCAAAATGGAATGACAGCAGAGGCGACGGGGAAAAACAGATAAATCACCGATGTAATGAATTTCCACTTAATTTGTTGGGCTGTCGGGATGCTGTCGGGATGTCAGGTGCATGACTTGCAAAATTTCACTCCCGAGGCCTAGCTGACTGGATTCCTACATTTTCAGTTTTGCGCAAGAACAAAATGAAATTGGTCATGTGCTTCTACTTTCTCGTGTGAAAAACCGCAGGGATTTGCAGAGACAGACATTGCAGTCATGGTTGTTGCAACTTATGGAGATGGGGAACCTTCAGCGACTTGCCAGATTCAGTTTGAATGGTCAGGCAAAATGTTTGCCATTGCTTGTTTTCTTTGGCGGAGCAGTTCTGAATGCATACGTTGCTTGAACCTTTCACATGCTAAGGACAACGCAGTTGCGTTCCACAAATGGGTAATGAACCCCAAACATGATGGAGCTTTGAAAGGGCAGCGCTTCACAGTGCCTTGCTGAACTACACCTCGCAATTTTTTGTTCCTGGTCGCATAGGTGCAGTTTGCTGAACGCTTGCTTTAGAGAGAACAAGTCTTTCGCTGCTGCTTTCCAGGTGATGGGTTTAGGTGATATGAATTATTCGCGCTTCAACAATATGGGACAGCTGACAGACCTCAATTTGGATGCTTGGATGCCTCAGTGGGTTCTGCTGCAATAGGAACAAATCACACGCTTTACATTTTACACAGAAACCACGTTTGCATGCTTCAGTTTGCAGATGCTCACAGTCAGTGAGGAGCGCTTGGGGGCAACACGAATTTACAAACGAGGAATTGGGGACGACAGCTACTTGGAAGTGTATAGAGGCTTTCAAGGTTGATAGTTCATATAATTTGGTCCGGTCATTCTTGTTCCGGACTGGCAAGAATAGTCTTGAGGTCAAGATATTGTAGAGGATTTTGAGAAGTGGAGGAATGGCGGGCTCATGGAGAAATTGAAGGAGGCAGTCGAAGAAGTGAAGAAGGAAGGCTTGCTGCCCAGTTCACGCCGCAAATCACATACCTTATATCAGTAGCAACCAGGGATATACAGTGTACATCCAAGGTGTACACCGCGAAACCGACGTTAGTGTTCGAGTGGCGAGACCTGGCGAGTTGCTGTACCGAGGACCTCGTGCACCAAAGACAGCAAAGACAGAGAATGGAAGCAACGGACGCAATGGAAGCAAGGAGCATCGCACACCTTAGCCATCGTAGCCATCCTTAGCCTTTTCAAATGGCCCAGTTTTTCACAAAGTCTCCTTTTCATTCTCTTGCAAAGATTGGGTGTAGACTAACAGGTCGGCTCTGCGGCAAATATAGGGAAGAATCTCAAGGGTGGGCTGAGAGTTTGGCAGGTGCAGGTCACTTGCATGTTGAGGCAGGTGCAGCAATCAAACTTGAGTTCTGCACCTTGCATTTGATGTGTCAGTGTTTTTGTGTTTCAGGCGAGGGCTTGTATGTGCATTTAAGGGGGGTTGCAAATCCAGGCTTGAACTTAGACTTTGCACATAGTGGAGATGAGCGGTAGGAAGATGACGATGATGTCTAATCGAAACTTAATAATAACTTATAATAACTTATAACAACATTTGCGGACCAACAAGTGCAGCCGGATGCTTGCAAGGTTTAGGGCGAGATGGTGAAAGTAAGAACGGAGAAAACAAAGCGGCAGATGAAGAAAATCAGAAGAGATGATAGCAACCTTATATAGATTCACAGTATACAGAACAGATTTGACGCAAGCTGTAGTGAAAAGATGAAAAGATTGCGAGAGCAACGGCCAAAAATGGAGATACTGTACCAGTATCTCTGATTCGTGAACTCCACGCTTCGCAGGAATCAACCTTGCCTTTTGGTACTCCAAAATTGGAGTTGGCAAAATCTGGTGCAGTTCTTCCAGCTGAAAGCTCTCAAGTCCCTTGGAAAAACTTGGAAGCCTTGTATTTAAAAGTCTGCCGGGGAGCGAAGTGGTGGCCGTGCCTCGTCCTAGATCCTCTTGGTCCTCATGATCCCCCCATGTCCTTACTTTATCCTTATTTTCTTGGCTGGATTCGCAGTGGATTTATGCACGGGCGCAACTGGAGTTCCAGGAGCCGACTGATGTGAACGCACGATTCTATTTCGAAGCTGAGAAAACCAAGATCGCAAAGGCTCGCAGATAGATGCAGATCATAGCCGCGTAGTGTTGTTTACTTCGAAGCTCATTGTCGGATATCTAAATGTGGAGCAAGTTCACCTGCGGGTGGCTGCGCTAAACTTTCTTTGCATGACATACAATCTACACTCATCTATGTGTGCTAGTTTGCTGGGGCTTGCAGGTGAAAGAATTGCGGCAATTACGAAGCCTTGATGAGGGTCTTTCAACGATGGAGGTGGAAATCGAGGCAAACCGTGCAGGAATTGTGCAGCTTGCTTCTTTGTCAGTATGACCTGACAACACATGTCAAATGTTGTTGACTGCGTTTGGGCTGTCAAGGCAAGCGGAAGCCTGCAAGACTACACAACTGCTGGTACTCTTGCCTTACTGCCAAGAAACAGTTCGAAACTGGGCTCAACATATGCTACCAAACAGCCGCCTTTGAAAACAAGAGGATTCATTCACAAGCCAGCTCTTGCAAACCTCACATTGTGAGATAGGTATTTGTGAGACGAACCATCATGCAGACACACACACACACACACACGAGCGATCAGGTACAATACAGCCACATTAAAAGGGTTTTCTGCGTGATACATGGTCAATCGCGGTTTCCTCCTCATTCGAACTTTCACAGTGCTTTCCAAGCTCCCTCAGTTGCATGTACTTGTAACACTAAAGTTCCCCGGGTCACTAACAGCATGCTTCTCCCTACGTGACATGCATTTTTTCGGGGGCTTGTGCCCTGGGCAATTGCGCAGCCCTCGCATTGTTTCAGCAATTGCACCAGTGCGGTGTCAATGTTGAAACTGGACACGGTTCTGGAAGGGTTTTGGAATGGCTCCGGTGTACAGCCACTCTCATCAGGTGTACTTGGAGCACAGACTCATCCATAGATTCGCTGACGCTCCTGTTTGCTTCGTTACAATGTTGCATTACAGTACCTTGCACTACATTTCATGTGATTGAGCTACGTTGCATCATGTGACATGACATGACATGACATGACGTTGCATTGCACCCCGCCACATTCCACTACATGCTATGACATACATGCATCGGTGAGGTATGCCCACACATCGCTTGTTTGGGCTGCGTTTCTTTCAACAATCAACAATGACAAGTGGATGTACAGATGTACAGTGTCTATATTTAATATATCTATATATATAAAGGGATGCGCTGGTTTGCGGGTTCTATTTGCCTCCATGTCAGCTTGTTTCGAGAAAACATTTTTCCAAAAAGTCTTTGCACATCCATTCGTGCACAAGCAATTCATGGCGCATGGTTCTGGAAGGTATGCACAAAACATTTTGAGGGAAAGTGAAAGCAGAAGGTTCCTCCAGAAACCAGCCTGGGCTTGTCTCTTGCGATGGTTTGGGTCATCCGAAGAGGTCCTGTTCAATAAGACAAGAAGGTTTCGGAGGTTCAAACACGGGCACGCAGTCTTGGGGTCACGTGCCAAATGGAATCTGCTCACCTTCAGTGTGTCTCGGACACTGAGACTACAAAGACCACACCACGCAGACCAGAAATTACCGAAAACACGTTGGAAGATGTTGGAGTCAGAGAATCAGCCAACATCCCAAGCCCAGTCGAGACCAGTCGAGCCCAGTCGAGACCAGCTCGAGACCAGTTCGCCCAGGATGGATGTTGTTGCAATGCTGCAGCTTTTTGGCCTGGCTGAAGTGGACCTCAGCAGGCAGCTGACCTTCAAAGCAGTAGAAGGTGAAGGCAAGGCATGGCACGGGATGAACAATGAGCAGCATGAGATAGCATGAGCAAGTGTCCTACATTGCGAGATATTGCGACATGGGTCATTGAGACTCAAGTTCAAGATCATATTCACATACACGCACACACACATGCACACAACCACACACCTGCTTACTTACATACATACCTACACACACACACGTGTATACTGTATATATATATATATACGTATGTGCCGTGCTCTTATCACATTCCATCTTTGAGGCATGCAGGTGAAGAAACCTTTTCCTACACCGTGCAGTCTTGGAGATGCTCTTTTCATGTACTGCGACCTTGCCCGGCCCCCAAACAAAAAGATGTGACTTGGCCTTGTCCCTGTAGCTTATTTTCTGATGGAGGGGGTGCCCGTTTGCATTTTGGGAAGCAAACAAGAACAATCCATGTCGTAAACAAACAAAAATAAATGCATGAGTGAATAAATAAATGAATTAAACAAAAATGAATAATAGACAAGTAAATAAATAAACAAATATACACATACACTGCAATGAGATGGAACATAATCTATGTTTTCGATAGTTTTTGATGCTTGATGGGGAGGCTGAACGCGCGGTGGTGAAATTTCCTCACATCCGCACGATTACAGGACGATTACTTGATTACGCATACACATGGCATACAAACACAGAAGACACACCGCCACGAAGGGATAACCTTTTGTCACACGCAGGGAACGCTCCGATAGCAACACTTGATCAATAAACTTCTCCTTGCCGAGCCAGCTGCACTAGCTTGTTAACAAGTGAAGATAACAAGTGAAGAAACCCAAAGAGCTTGCCCTCATGCTGTCTCTGTTGTCGTTGTCTTGCGTGTCTTGCAATCACAAAATCTAAGGGTTGAACATGACAGTCCATGCTCAGGCTGTCAGCAATGCAGGATAAGCTGACAGGTGAAGCAAAAGACTGCGTAGGCCAGAGATTGACACAGGTTTGCTGTAATTCAAGCACACACCTGTTGAACCAATGACATTTCTTTCTCCCTACGCATTGTGCATGCCGGAAACTGTCGCTTGGAGGCAAACTCTTGGCCGATGCAGACGCATTGAAGATGTTGCAGTCCGATGCTGCCTGTTGTCGTATGCATGAATTTTGGGCGCTGATGGGTGTCACAGGCCAGGACAAGCATAGTACAGTAAGTAAATCAGCGTAGCTGCTTGTTGAAGGGGGATTTCTACTAAAGCCTCATCACAGCTTCACCCCCAAACAAACGGTAGAATTTCAGCAGGTCATACGTGGAGTTTTCACGGAGTTTTGAAATGTCCAGGAATCGATTTGGGAGACTTCTTGCTGAGCTGTCCACGTCAGCGGCCTCGCGAATACACAATTGCTTCATCTCCCGCCGCGGCTCCAAAACGAATCACATTGTGCGTTCCATGGCGGAACATAGCGGAATTGTTAATGGCCTAGCATTGCCTAGCATTGCTTTATTGTGTTTTATTATCATTTGTTGCTATTTTCCTTTGAAACAACACTGCAAAGGCAACCCACCTACTGTTTTGTGCGACTTTGTTTCCACCATTGGGATCTCGCCTCATCATATTGTTTTCCCCCTTGAGCTTTGTGCATCATTCTTTAGTCCTGCATCAACTTCTCAATCAATGCAGAGTGCGTGAGTCTACGATGAGGTCAGCCTCACTAGCCATGATGCAGACTTGAAAGATTTTTCCGAGTGACTTGGCATTCACATGCTTTTTTCGAAAAGATCACGAAGAATGATCGTATGGTTGCATGGTAGTCCAGCACCGGGTGCATGGTTGAAAAATGTGTGCTTTGCGCAGGAAATTGGTCTCAGCTGGTTGCCTACCGTCAGCTTCGTCTTCAGCGAAGGAGCTGCGGCGCAAGAGTCTGGGTGGCTGCAGGTTTCAGGGGCTTTGCTCTCGCTGGATCTCTACGGACCTTCAAGAAGGCATGTGGAAGTACGGTGAAGTACGTGGGAACATGGGAATTTGCTTGGCTGACTGACCAACACTTGCCGACCTGTGCCAACGCACATGCCAGATGAAAGTACACATCTGAAACTTTGAAGGTGACACGGTCCTTGCAAAGCAGCACTCCTCCACTTTGAAACTACCCAGCAAGGATGTTCCGGTAGATGCTCGCAAGCACCAAGGTCTCCGTACGGTAAACTGGTTGGAGTTGAGCAGAGTAACTCGTGTATTTTTGATGCAGTTTCCATCAAGGTTCTTGATTCATCCTGTCATCCTGTCATAATGGACTAGGTGACTAGGTCAAAACTGTGTGAAGACTTGGTTTTTTAAGTTGACTTCATCAGGTCATGGTTGGAGCTGGTGCTGGGATTGCTCCATTTCGTGGCTTTTGGGAGGATTTGCGACGTGGCCCACAAGTGGCACCAGTCACTTGGAGCATGTGAAACGGTGAAAACATGCCGAAAGAAAAGAAAAGAAACATGTAGAAACGCATTGAACATTGAAAGAGTGCCGTACGAGAATTGTGCGTGCTGTCCTGGTGAGCGCAGTTGTACTAATTCTACAGGGACTTGGAGGTGCAGAACATCGATCCACTGCATTAGGTTGCATTTCGTCTCACCATGTTGTGCACCTTATTGTTCAATCATGTTCAATCATAGCCACCCCTTCAGATCCCAGTGAAAACAAGACGTCACTTGCATGCTGGAAGCTTTGCAACAAGCACTCTACAGCCCACTACAGAGAAGGTATGCGAATAATACGCGTGCGTGAACTTGTCCATACAGAGGCATGCACACAAAGCATCATACAGACATGCAGACCTGCACCTGATGGCTTAGAGATGCTTAGAGAATATGGAATGTTTGGGCACCCTAACTCTGACTCTGGCCGATGCAGCGAGGATAAGTAGTTTGAGTTGTTTCTAGTTTGAACAGTGAAGTTCATACCGCGGACTGCCGCGGCATCAGATTCAAAATGCTTGCTGGTGATGGGGGAGAGTAGTTCGGCTGGATTCATATGGGCTTCTTGAAGGTGACTAGCGTATTCCATGCCTTTCGATTTGTTTTGGGCGCCGCACGTTAAAACCTATGTGCATGCACACTTTCCCACGCCAGGTAAAGGCCAACTAGAGAGAGAGAGAGAGAGAGAGCGACAGGGAAAGACAAAGATGCCTCGAGGAATCCATGACTTGCTTGCCTCCAGCCTACACAAATATAAATCAAATATATGATAATACAAATATAGTACATGTAAATGCCCATCTACCTGGTTGAGGCAGATTTCGGCACCGTATGCACCAGCATGTCACATAACTTGATCCAAGCAACTCATTATCCGACTACGCCAATAAGAATCTCTTAACATTTGTCACAATTACTCAACGTGGCGCGTTACGATCAGCAAATGCAACGTTCAGAAGCTTCAGGGGTGTAGCGCAGAAATGCAGCAGAGCCAAGCTCAGCTTCATAGCATCAGCAAGATTAATTGGGCAAATGGAGGTACCAATAGTGATGCCTCTGGTTCTGGAAGCTTGACACTTCAGACGCTGGAAACTGACCCAACCGGGCACCTACTTTCCCAAGGCGGCACTTTTCTTTGGCTGCCGAAATCCGGAGCAGGACCCTATCAGACCTCTCACTTTTGGGCTGTGGCGCATGCCGCCGTCATGTGCCGGATTTGAGTCTGCGACATTTTTTCTGTTTGCCGTTCTGAGTTCTGGTGAAAGACAGGACTGGCTGTTCAAAGATGAAATGAATGCTGCAGTGAAGCTTGGTGGTGGTTGCGCTGCCCTGGCCAGAATGCAGGTGCCACCGTTGAGATTCATGCACTTTTTTTCGAAGGAGTTCAAAGTGCATTTCTTTTGGGAAAGATGTAGCACCTGTAGTGGCTATGACAGGATGTCTTGCGGCATGTAGTGATCCCCGAGCTGTCCCATAAAATGCTGGGCAGGTCGGTCCCAAGCGCCCTCTTGCGAGTCTCTTCACAGCCTTCTCACGACCCGGAGGTTCCAAAGAGAAGTGCTACATTCAGGACGGCTTTGACACCAGGTCATGCTCGTGCTCAGTGGACCATAAGGTGACTACAAGCTATCGGTGTATATATATATATACATAAATGCCTATACATACACATACACAGAGGTGGGCTTCTCACCAAGGATCAGGGGGATAGCTGGTCCCAACATAGTCTCGCAAAGAAAAGTTTCAACTTGTGCTAGTTGGGCCTGCGCCGGTGTAAAATCTAGTCTTCGAGAAGTCCTGCAGCCCTTTAGAGGAGAAGTTGTGCCTCCTTGGCATGTATGCGCAAATCTGCAACTCTCTCTCTCTCTCTCTTTCTCAGTCACACACTTGGATACGAAGAAAACCGATTTGTAACACATTACTTGATGATCATCAGCACTTTGACACGTGCTGACCTTGCAATATATATATATATATGTAAAAGATCTTTAAGTATGCGAAAGAGCCACCAGAAGTAGCCACCGTCCCTTGCTTTGAAGGTCCTTGGTAGGGTGCATGCCTCTGGGTCACAGACCTCCCATACCCGGCGCTGCTTGCATGATGTCGTGTGCCATGTCCCGCTGTGAGCTTGAATGCGGATGTGCTGAGCCTGATGCGACCGATGCGACCGAACCCAGCAGCTTCAGCATGGAATGTGAGGAATGTGAGGAAAGGGAAAGGGAGACATTGGACGGAAGCCATCAACAGGTTCGACGAGTTCGAGCAGTTCGACCAGTTCGACCAGTTCGCGGGCACGTCTGGAGACATGGAGCGCACGGTGACATGCACGGAAGCTATCCATTCGTGTGGAAAAGTGTCCGAGTGGCAAACCGCTGTGAGCCTCTTGATGTGTCTACAGCGCAAAGACTTGGCTGATCTTGTGTGCTACAATAGCACCATCGGTGCATGCCAGAAGAGTTTGCAGTGGTTTGCAGGACTTCGGCTATTGAGCTGGATGGCAGCAAAGCTAGTGCCTGACATAATCAGCTTTAACAGCTTCATAAGTGGATGTCACGGACGCTGGTTTGTTGCTCTTGATTTTCTGAATGGATTGCTGAAGAAGCAGAGGCACCAGAGCGACAAGTTGGTGCCAAATGTTGTGACGTACAGCAGTGCCATAAACGCCTGCGAAAAAGACAGTTGGTTTGTCACATTGTCGATCCTGGATATGATGCGGAAAATGATGATTCTTCCGAATGCGGTCAGCTACACTTCAGCTATCAGTGCATGCGCACAAGAAGGTCGGTGGGACATTGCAGTATGTTTGTTGACATCCATGGTTGCCTTCCGAGTGGATCGGAACATCATAAGCTACAACACTGCCATATCCGCTTGCGGAACTGTTGGAAATTGGAGTCTAGCCCTGGTTCTACTAACTGAGATGGAAGGCGATATCTTGTTGCCAGATGTCATCAGCTACAATGCGGCGATCAACGCATGTGCCGGAAGCTGGTTTGTCATGCTTTTTCTGCTGGAATGTATGGATTCAATGGACATTCGTCGTGACGTGATTACCTACAACACAGCTATAGGCGTTTGTGCAGAGGATGGGCTTTGGTCACTTGCTGTTTCCCTTCTGAAGCAGATTGACTCTGAGGAGCTTTTGCCAGATATTGTTAGCTTTTGCAGCGCCATTGCTGCTTGTGCGCAGGATGGGCAGTGGGAGATAGCACTGGGTCTGTCCCTTGACATGAAAAGGCAGGTGATTCCTGCAAATACGATCAGCTACAGTGGCCTCATCAAGGCATCTGCCGCTGGTTCTGGCAGCCGCAATTGGCAGCTTGCATTGTTTTTCTTGAGTAACCTGCACTCTGAAGGAGTGGTTCCAGATGTAATTTGCTACAATAGCGCAGTGACAGCATGTGAAAGATCTGGGCAATGGCTTGAGGCCCTCAGCCTTTTGGAGCATATGTGGTCGATGAAGGTACTTCCCAATGTGGTCTCTTGCAGCAGTGCAATCAGTGCATGTGCAAAAGGGAGCCAGTGGTTGCTCTCCTTGATACTTCTCGCAGAGATGGAGGCCGCAGAAGGGCCCTATGTTACTCCAAATGCCATCAGCTTCAGCAGTGCAATCAGTGCATGTGAGAAGGGCGGTCAGTGGCTGACAGCCCTTCAACTTTTATTCAGAATGATGCACATGACAGCCACACCAAATACAATAACTTGCAACAGTGCTATCAGCTCTTGCGTTGCAAGCCGACGGTGGCCTGTTGCAATATCATTGTTAGCATCAATGTCATACTTGCCCAATGTGGTGCCTGATGTGATAAGCTTCAGCAGCACGATGAGTGCATGTGAGCCAGGACCTTGGTGGTTGGCTTTAGGTCTATCTGGAGCGATGCAAGGGGTTGCAGTAGAGAGCAATGTGCTTTGCCATAATTCAGCAATGAGTGTCTTCCAACGAAACGCCAAGTGGTTGCTTATTTTACAATTGCTTCGGACAATGCAGATGTCAATTGTGATTCCCAATACAATCAGCTACAGCAGCTCGGTGAATATAAGTGTTTACTCGAGAAACCGCTTCCTGACAATTCACTTCTTGAGCCTTCTGCAGAAGACTGCGACGGATTCTGTGCAGATTTGTTTTGCTGGGTGAAGGCTGAAACGATTTGTTTTGCCAGCTTCTCCACCGGTCGAGCAGCATGCAGAACATAACTTCACCGCCCAACTTTCACCGAGTGAAATGAGGCTGTGTCATGCCGGAAGGAAGACACGCAAGAGACCAAACGGGTTTGAGACCCTTATTTCGGATGACATCCCGGGGGATAAGCTCACGAGTATGTGAATGCTGTGGTCGACTTGCCTTCAGGATTTTTGCACCAATCAATGTGCCGTCAAGTCTGAGCTGTTCACTGTGCTTGAAAACAGCGGTCGGGCAGAAAGATTGCATTGTTCAGAGGGTGCAGGTGTATGTGGCTCTTTATGCTTGATGCTCCACCAGGACCACTTCTATCGTATGCACAGTGACGAAGCAGCTACGATGGCTGACCTCAAGAAATGCAAGCCATCGTCAAAGCGACGTGCTTCCCCCACACCTGAGACTTCTTACACGCGCCTTTATTCCTCCGGTTCACAATTCCGGTAAAGGAAAAAGGTATGTGCGATTCCTGCATCGACGCACAGCTAGCGTAATCTTTGGGCGTCACAGTATCATGTTTTGAAATCACTAAATGGTGCCCCTTTCAGTTTGGCCTAAACACATCCATCCATGAATTTCTTTCGCAGACTTGGGACACTAGCCTCCCAAGCAAGTTTCGGATCCCTCAACATGTAAGAACCACTTTTTTCCCGACAGTCTCGTGCTTTTTATGTGTTGAGCTTCTGGGAAGATCTAGGGTTTGTTTCTAGGTCCCACAGCTTGCGTAAACCTTGAGAAAGACAAGGCGGAGATGATCAAATAGAGTAACAATGCACTTGTGAAACATTCACACACAAGAGTGTTCGATTATGTCCTTAATACAAATATTGCTATCTATCTCATACCCGGGTTTTGGCAGATTTCCATTTTCTTGACATAAAAGGGTCAAATTCCTTCGTCTCAGGCTTTTTCGGTCAGACAATACAACCCTAAAACCTGAAGCCTCTCCGAACACTACAGCTATGTGATTTTAAACCTTAAAACACAAAACCCCAGAAGCAAACTCCATATGCACATTTGTTTCGCATCACCAGTGCTTTTGCGTCTTCCCAACCTTGGCTGATGGCTTTATTGATTTCACATGAATTTGTGATGTTGTTCATCATGAGACGATATACCACGGTGCAACCACCTGAGCATAGCCCAGTTGTATTGACATGTCATTGCTTCTCTAGGTGGAAGATGTTCTGAGGATTGTAAACAGATTTAACATTTTGGAGCAATTGCTTTTCCATTCAAGATAGCTCGAATGCTATACATTGTAGATTCACCAGCTGCTGTATTGTTTTTTTTTTCAGATTTGCTTGCTCTTTTGTCCATGTCCAGACGCTCTTGTTATAAGCTTTGAGGACATAGAAATGAATCCAACCATTTCAGCGGACAATTGACATCCTTTAAAAACTCCTCCCGATTTTCAGAGCAGGCTTGCTGCTTAACCTGTACCCAATGTCCAAGATGCAGAGATGAGTGGATCCTCCAAATCTATTTTTCGCGAGTGAATGTAGATGTTTGGCTTCCTAGGTTCAAAGATCATCGTTGTGTACAGATGAAAGTTGGATCCATGAGTTTAACCTGTGACTTTCCAGTTTTGATCATCAGCACTTTGACACGTGCTGACCTTGCGATATATATAGTAATATAGTAATATATATATATATATGTGTGTAAAAGATCTTTAAGTATGCGAAAGAGCCACCAGAAGTAGCCACCGTCCCTTGCTTTGAAGGTCCTTGGTAGGGTGCATGCCTCTGAGTCACAGACCTCCCATACCGGGCGCTGCTTGCATGATGTCGTGTGCCATGTCCCGCTGTGAGCTTGAATGCGGATGTGCTGAGCCTGATGCGACCGATGCGACCGAACCCAGCAGCTTCAGCATGGAATGTGAGGAATGTGAGGAATGTGAGGAATGTGAGGAAAGGGAAAGGGAGACATTGGACGGAAGCCATCAACAGGTTCGACGAGTTCGACCAGTTCGACCAGTTCGACCAGTTCGCGGGCACGTCTGGAGACATGGAGCGCACGGTGACATGCACGGAAGCTATCCATTCGTGTGGAAAAGTGTCCGAGTGGCAAACCGCTGTGAGCCTCTTGATGTGTCTACAGCGCAAAGACTTGGCTGATCTTGTGTGCTACAATAGCACCATCGGTGCATGCCAGAAGAGTTTGCAGTGGTCTGCAGGACTTCGGCTATTGAGCTGGATGGCAGCAAAGCTAGTGCCTGACATAATCAGCTTTAACAGCTTCATAAGTGGATGTCACGGACGCTGGTTTGTTGCTCTTGATTTTCTGAATGGATTGCTGAAGAAGCAGAGGCACCAGAGCGACAAGTTGGTGCCAAATGTTGTAACGTACAGCAGTGCCATAAACGCCTGCGAAAAAGACAGTTGGTTTGTCACATTGTCGATCCTGGATATGATGCGGAAAATGATGATTCTTCCGAATGCGGTCAGCTACACTTCAGCTATCAGTGCGTGCGCACAAGAAGGTCGGTGGGACATTGCAGTATGTTTGTTGACATCCATGGTTGTCTTCCGAGTGGATCGGAACATCATAAGCTACAACACTGCCATATCCGCTTGCGGAACTGTTGGAAATTGGAGTCTAGCCCTGGTTCTACTAACTGAGATGGAAGGCGATATCTTGTTGCCAGATGTCATCAGCTACAATGCGGCGATCAACGCATGTGCCGGAAGCTGGTTTGTTGCCGTGCAGCATTTGAGTGGAATGCGATCGCACCGCATTGTCTCAGATTCAATCAGCTACCACAGCCTGCTTGACGTGTGCAGAGGAAGGGATGCCGACGATTCGTTCAACGAAAGCTGGCTGGTCGCTTCACAGGCCTTGCAAGAAATGCGTAGATGGAAACAGCAGCAAGATAGTGTTACTTACGCGATCGGCTCTCTTTCTATATGTGCTGAGAGATGTGGGGGGTGGGCGATTGCATGGAGCATGCTGTCAAACATGCGAAATGCTACGGTCGAATTCAGCAGTATGAATCTGAGTAGTGTCCTCAGCAGCAGGGAAAGGTGTGGATGGCCAACAGCTGTGGCAATGCTGAAAAGCAGCCAAGTGGACACAGTTATTTGCAACGGTATCTTGAGTGTCTTAGCACATGCAGACCAGTGGTTGGTTTCCTTGGTGCTCTTAGACGACATGTTGAGTTCCAGGAAAAATCGCAATGTCATTACATCAATCAGTGTCACAGCGGCCTGTAAAACGAGCACGTGGTTGATGGCTCAAGGCGCACTTTCTCAAATCTCCAGCCTCCAGGTGGAAGGCAATGTAGTCAGCTGCAGCAGTCAGATTAGCATGTGTGAAAGGTGTAATGAGTGGGAGAATGCTTTAGAGCTGTTGAGGATTATGTCTCAGGATGGCACCCTGTTGAATCTAATCGCTGGCAATAGTTTGCTTGGAACATTAAGGGCGCAAGAGTGGACCCTCGTTTGGAGCCTCTTTGGAGCGCTGGGATCGAGATCGCTCTTGCCTGATGAAATCAGTTACAACGGGGTGATCAGTGCGTGTGAATCTTCGGTGTGCCGAGTGGCAAGCAATGTAGTCGGCAAGACAAAACGGAGCCTTCTGCAGAGTGTTGAGTAAGTAATTATTGCAACTGGGAGCCCTGCAAGTCTCCCAAAGGCTTTCACGGAATGTTTTGAACTTGCATTTGGCAGGATGCAATTAAGCAGCAAGGAGCCTCTGACGTTGCCTTAGTTGCTAGTTATTCTTGCGACTTAAGGGAGGTGTACTTTACATTGAGTTTGGGTGATGCTGTGTTCAGGGTCAAGCTCTGCTTGTGTTGCCGCCTCACTAAATTTTCACAGTATGGCAGAGTTCATTTTTTCAACCTGTCGCTCACTTCGCTCACTTCGCTTATTGATCCTCTTTGCTTCTCATGGATCTAGGTCAAGGCGTGGGTCCAGAACATGGGCGGCCACGTGATCATCTGTGGATCGACGGCTCAGGGCTTATAGATTAGTAGGTCACACTTTTGTTTCAGCGATTCTTGATTGATCCTGGTACTTTTTAATGTCATGCACTCTCCTAGGCAATGGGCAACGGAGTGCTTGATGCACTGTCAGAAGTGCTAGAAGGTGGAAAGGAAACAGTCGAAGCATTGCGACGCGAAGGGCGTATCATCGCAGAAATCAAGCTGCAATCAGAAGAGGTACTGTAATACAATTGATTGATGTGCATTTCTAAATGTTAGTTGCTCCTTCACCACTACTGCATTGCTGCATGCCAGAATCTCACCCTGTCACCATGAGATACAAAACTTGCTCGCTTTGGCCACTGTGCTGTTTTGGGATGCTATGGATGAATGCAACGATAAACAATGGTTCATGTGCCCTGATGAAGGTTCCTGGCCAATGACACCTAAATATGGACAACAAAGAGCCCGCATGAATCTGTCACTGATAGGGTCGGTATAGGGTACTGATATGTACTGATGGCCAAGAATCCTGCATGACCTGCATGGTAAATCCTGCGCACATTTCTACATGCCCTTGGCGGGATGACCTCCGCTGCAGCAAGGCGACTCACCGAGTTTGTGTCCAGTTTCCATGCTTGATGGTGACATGTTGTGAACATCAAAAATTCTTTCCACATTTTTTCACATTTGCTATCTCCATCTATGCCTGTGAACCAGAAGTCGTCAGCGAGGAAATGTGGGGCTGAAAATCCTGAACGACTTGATTTTTTCGCCGGGTTCTGACTGACCTTGGCAGCGTGTACAGAAAGATGAGAATTCAAAATTCTCTCTTTGGACCTGCTGACGTGACCGGATCCGAGAGTTGCCATCCACGGGGCATGGCAGCAGGTTCTCCAAAAATAGAGACAGGCAGACTGACACACATACACATACACATACGCATGTACTTGTACATGTACATACACATATACATATCCATATGCCCTACATATCCATATGCATATGCATATACACACATTATATTATATATATATCTATCCTATCCTATCCTATCCTATCCTATCCTATCTATCAATGTATCAATCAATCTAATCTAATCTAATCTGATCTAATCTGATCTAATCTAGTCTAAATCTAATCTAATCTAATCTAAATCTAATCTAATCTAATCTCATCTATCTAATCATCTAATCTATCTAATCTATCTGTTCTACCTACTGTAATCTATCTAATCTATCTAATCTATCTAATCTATCTAATCTATCTAATCTATCTAATCTATCTAATCTATCTAATCTATCCTAATCTATCTAATCTATCTAATCTAATCAATCTATCTATCTATCTAATCTGTCTATCTAATCTATCTATCTAATCTATCTATCTAATGTATCTATCTAATGTATCTATCTAATCTAATTTAATCTATCTATCTATTTGTCTATTCTATTGTAGTCTATTGTATTCTATTGTATTCTATTGTATTCTATTCTATCCTATTCTATCGATTCTCTCTATTCTATCTATTCTATCTATTCTCTCTATTCTATCTATTCTATCTATTCTATCTATTCTATCTATTCTATCTATCTATTCTATCTATCTTTCTATCTTTCAATCTTTCTATCTTTCTATCTATCTATCTATCGATCTATCCATCTATCTATCTCTCTGTCTATCTCTATCTCTATCTATATCTCTATATCTATATCTATATCTTTATCTTTATCTAGATATATATGATGTACGATTGTAATTTAGATTTGGCTGCGTAACGTTTTCTTGTCCCTTGGTGAAGCACTGGGTGTGTTGGAAGAGCAATCCTCAGGTTCTAGTTAGTATTCTTAGGTAGATTCCGTCCGTGCCACCATCCCAACTATCCAGCAGCCACCTCTTCCGCTTATGATGCCCCATTGCTGGCCCCATTGCTGGCCCCATTGCTTCTAAACCCCACATACTGGTGGTGCGAGCTCTTAAGCCCATTCACATCCTTTTCTTTGATTTGTCTAGGCTGAGTTGCTTGGAGCCTTTTGCTATGTTTTTGCACAATGTTGGCTTTTCATACAGTAGCTTTTCAAGATTCCTGAGCCCGTGAGGAATCCATTTGGTATAGCATGAGCCCCGAGCAGGTTGCAACGACCAAAAGCCATATGCTGCTGTATTGGATCTGATGCTGAATGTGAATGCCTAGCATTCCAGTTGGATCTGATTGGATTCCTGAATTACGATCTGAAACCAGTCGTTTTTTTTTCCCCTCCTTCTCTTCTCTCTATTCTTTTTGGGGGTTGGTTGGAATAAAGCCTTGCAGGTTCCTCAAAGGTATTTTGTGTAGTGGTGGCCACCATCCTATACTAGCGTGTCTAGGGTCCTCCTGAGCAACTTGTGTTCGAAAGGATTGGTGCACGCTTTTGGTAGGGTGGCCTTGACATTGGAATGAGCAAAGCTGAATGTGCGAATATGTGCGAACACAAATCGTTCAAATCATTCATACGTTTGGGGCACTTCCTGCCAGCTCCCTGCGGGCAACATCTCGAGTTGGGACAAAAGCAGACTGAGGATTCTTTTTGTGTCGGTGCGACATCGTGCCATTTCAAATTTGAGCACAGCTTCCAAGTTCTTGTTCAAATTTCCTGGTTGAGTTGTATTGAAAGTGGAAAGGTCGCCTTCGTCGTCCTTTGGGAGCCCTTCCCTAGCGAAGTTTCAGCAGTGCTTTCCTCGTGTGCCATTCAGTTGTTTCAAGTCTGCACTCTACTAGAGCAGGTATCTTTTGAATGTTGATTTGTCCACAGCCCAGACTGGAGAAGTTCTGCTACGCTTGGTCATTGTCGATCTGGCACCAAGAGAAGTCTTGCTCTGGTCGCTCTGGTCGAATTTCACCATGACACCACATGACACCTGTGGATTTCACTTGTGGCCTCTATGGCCCTCGATACTCTGAAGGAGCTTCATTCAATGGAAAAAGTTTGTGCAAAGAGGGCCGTGGATAAAATATGATCAAAATTTGTTTCGACTTAGAGATATTTACAGAGATTTACAGAGTGAATCTTGCGCGAATACATTTGAAATGTTTTGGGTGAGCGCGTGTGAATAGCTGTTGGCTCTGTCCTAGCCTCCTTGCCTGACAATTCCATCAAAGGAGACAAATGGCAGTCTTGACCCAGAGGAGTGAAAAAATGGTGGAATGCATGTGTCAAACAATGGTGGAATACATTGAAGGTTTCAGGATGTTGACGGCAACGATAAAATATACGATATACAGTTCAAAGCATTGCAGGAAGACACAGCTTAGGCTGCCAGGGAAAATGCAGCATGCAGAACATCATGCACAGCCAAAGGAACCTAGTCGACAGGAGCATATGCCTATCGAGATCACTTCCATTTTACTGGGTGGCGGTGGTGTTGCGATCCTTGCAATGTTGGGTCCTCGCACGACAAATTTGGCAGCTCGGAATACGGAGAGCCATTGTCAGAAGGCCAATCTGCCTTCATTAATTTCTTTGTGCATTCCCTGCTTTGCTAGACTCGCTGCACCAGTTTGAAAGCATATTGCATTTGCAATCGGCAGGCTGTGACTGCACAAAGGAGCCGGCATACCAAAGTGGAGCAAAAGGCACCCACGGTGTGGGGGCGCAGTGTTCCTGCATCTTGTCCGCAAAGGGTGCGCCAGTTCTTGGGGTCATTCTCTGAGGTCGCCTGGTTGAGATTTGCTGATTTGTTGCTCTTTGACTTTTTTCTTCGCAGCCAAGTGAACGAGCACAAACTGACAAACTACTATAGTCACTATAGTCAGTTGGGGATGCTACCAGACAGCCGAGGCTTTCGTGGCTCTTCTTGCTGCCCGGGGTACCCGAACCCGATTGGTCCGAGCGGCGGCGAATGACCCTTGAGCAGCAAGTAGCCGACTTGCCCACTGCTTTTGCACCATGACCAGGCTAGAAAGCAATTGCATTTCTTCTGAGAGAGCCACCTTTCCGGGCGGAACGCCAACAACACTGCTCACCTGACTGTGTGCAAAGTCAAGAAGCAGAAGAAGCTGCAATCCGCTCATTCAGAGCGTGGTCTACCTAGCCATACCTAGTCATACCCGGCCATTGGCTTTTGCTGTGGGTGATTCGACATTGGTTTTTGTTCGTTTGATTGGCGATGAAGAATGCGTGCTGCCTGAGTCCGCCAGGGGGTTGATTCTAGAGGGAGGGTTCAAAGCCATTTTGCAACCTCACAATGACAGTCACAGGCCTAAGGCACACTTCACCGAGCTAATCTGGATAGTAGAACCTGTAGGAAAGAACAGAACATCCAGCAATGCGCAATGATTGTCATGCAATGTTGAACTCTCACAACGGGATGCTCAGGACCGACTGCTGCAAGTTGAAGCCTCGTTTGTGCATGTTTGAGCTAGATGACCCCAAGTTTCAATGCTGGGAAGCGCCGCCTCCTAAATGACGTAAAAACATGGTCCAATGCGAATAGTTCAGGTTTCTGAAGCAAGCAAAAGACTTGTCACTTCGCTTAGTTGATCCCTACAGGATGTTTCGACAAGTAAAGCATTGCTAATGCAAGAAGCAGCATGTCATCTTCACTGATAGTTGTGGCAAATGCAGACGTGTACAAAATAGATCAAAATAGCTAATCAAAGTGGAATTCAACCGCTGGCTGACGAGTTGGCTCATGTGAGGATCGGTTCGAGTTTAATGATCGCCTATGGAATCAGTTCCTTCGGATTGCTCAGCCGTATTTCCTTCCATTTACGGCAGCCCGGCATGCAAACTTGTTTCCTTTAGGGGTCGTTGTGCTGAAGATCATATTGGTTCGAAAAGTTTGGAGGAATGCCCATTTGACTTGCGCCTCGTTTTTCCGAAACACAAGGAGAAGGAGGAGGAAGGTCCTGGCTTCCTTGCCCTGATTGCAGCGTTGCTGATCGGCGCCTTGGTGTAGTAGTTCCAAACCCATCCGAACCCATTCGAATCCAATGCAATTTCCAACGTTTGCGTTGGAGGATTTTGGTCATGTCCCTAGTGTGTTCCAACTTGCCTCCCTTTTAACTTCTGTTGTGTCAACCGAGCTGCATTTGTGACATGTCAAAACACAAATGGATGGTGCCTTCGGCTATTGGAGCTATTTGGCCACTTCGTATTCGAAGAGGCCAGAGCAAATTGGTGGAATTGGAGGGGCGTCGGCCCCTTTGCTATGCTTCTTTGCTTAGAAGATATTAGCAACAGCCACGAGCCTCTTCGGAGAACCATCCCACTCAGAAGCACCTGGGTCAAAGAGATCAATGATGTTGCGCTCGCAACACAAGACACTCTACGGCAAGTAGAGCAAAAGTAGAATAAGCACCAAAGGAGATCAGAGGAGGTGCAGATTGCAGCAGGGTGGCATTGAACGATGGTCCAGGCCCGATGCCAAAGCTCATCAAAGCTCGGAGATTTCGAGGCAATGCGGACAGATCGGACCTATCAAGTCTGTCGTGTTCGTCGAGCCCAGAGGCAGAAAGCAAACATGCAAACGACATGCAAAGGAGTTGCACTGAATTGTCCGTAGTAGCTTATAGAACTTATGTAATCTTATGTATGTGAAATGGTACGGCCTGTGCTAAAAATCACATCAGTCGCTGCACAGAGGCAATTCCGGCGGTTTCTGCAACTATTGTGCATCGCAGAACCCCCAAGACTTCAGGTGGTCAACAGCTCAAAAGCTATCAAACACATGAATTATTCAAGGGACTCACTCTTCAATCTTTATTTGTATTGATTGCGCCTCAATCTCCCAGTAGTGCGGTCACTTGCTAATGATTCAGTTGTCAATCAGCCAGTGAATCATACACTTTCCATCTTCTGCATTTCTTTCAATATTTTTCCTACTCCTTAGTACGTCTCCTATCCTGTGAGACTTGGGAACTGGTGTGGGTATGGTAGCCAAGAAAGAGGGTCAAAGAGGTTCCTACTCGGGCAAGATCTTTGGGAAGATAACTCCGATAATGCGTTTTCTTTTCTTCGGATGGCTAAGTCTTGGTGCCAGAATATTTGAAACAAACAGGGTATGACAAGACTAGTCAGTGTCTAGTCGACCAGCCGGATTCCGTTAGAGGCGGTTCTCAATCCTTTCTATGTCACCATGTTTAGGTGCATGTCACCATGTATCACCAGGTGTGGTGGGTGGCACTTTCTTCCTTGCCTTGGCTGCTGGCTCTGCTGCCCAAGCACTTCTGCAAGTTCCTGAAGGTGCATGAAAGACTCATCAAGAATGTTATATATACATCGAAAGTTTCGGCCTTGTCTTCCCGAACATCGCCAGGTTGAAAGTTGATTGCTTTGCAACCTTGGCTTTTGCTGTAGTAGCATTTCTCCTGCAGAGGTCTCACAGCGACCTTGACCTCAATGACGCAGGCACGGGCACAAACAGGAAAACCATGGAAACTCCGCGCCGCATTTGGCAAAAAATGTGGGATAGACCTTGGGCATATTTGTGTCATTTTGTGTCAACATCAATATGCAGGCCGTGCTGGCGAGTATTTTGGGAAAGTAACAATGTCGGTTGGTAGCGCCCCAGAAATCGGAAAGTTTTCCTGGAATGGAATGGTGTTCCACGCAAAGAATGTATTCCCAGCTTCACTGGAACCTGTATAACCCCAAGGTTCACACAATAGTATATTTTTGCAAAGTAATATTTCAGATAAACATGGGTATTTGATGGCAATTGACCATATACTACAAGGGATGTCCTGAGAGCTGTATGGTTCTTGAATGATCTGGATTGACTATGCTGGCAAGCAGATTGAGCAGGCTCCTTTTGTGATCGCTGCCGCGGTTGCTGTGATGATAGCGGCTGCAGCTTTCCTCAGCGGACGTCACCGCTTGGAGGGCCGGTGGCAACAGCATCTTGATGGGAACCTTGCGGTTTCACCACGTGGTAAGATGTTGGTCCCAGGGCTTTATCAAACCTCACCACGCAGCTCAGGTGTTCTGAAAGCACAACATGCTCATACATTCTTATACATTCTTATACATTCTCATTTCAACATTTCTACATTGAATACAGTTTGATGAGTGTGAGCACCATGTATGGAGCCCAGATAGCATGGTGTGCGAAGCTCTTCGCTACATTGAGGTATTTTCTCACCCGAAGCTGTGAAACATCCATGACTGTTCCGAATATTAATGCATTCCTTGGATTAGCTGGTTGTGGGTTAGAGTTTCGGACATTCAATTTGTTGGCCTCTGACATGTTTGGGGCCCCAATGCAAGCCGGGAGAGCGAGAGTTCTTTTGATTCGCAACCTCGAAGCTCCTGTGAGCATGATCACAGGCTAGCAGGATGCAATATGCATCGATGATCCATTTCTGGGCAAAAACAAGAAGACCCGAAAACCTGTGATGAAATAGGACGAGAATCACAGGAGATAAATGAGGTTTGTTAGGCGACTACAGCGCCGTGCAGCTTTGGCAAAGCAGACATCCCACAATCGGTGTTCCACATAAATTTATTCTGCGCAATGCAGCAGGGTTCATTGCACACTTTTGGTTGTGCTTTGGAGTGTGTGGCACCTTTCAATGCAGTAGGCATGACAAAGTCTCACAGGTGGGGTCTTCTTGCATTGCTCCTATTTCTGCTCTTCTGTGTGACTGGCTTGAATGTCCTTTTGAGCTATGCCGGAGACTTAGCACTCTGTGCACGATTGCGCACTCCCCGTGACAATATTACTTACCAAATCACCAATGCTTTGGTGTTGGACGAGTCCAAACACTTGATTCACTAGAGGTGTTTCGCACGATTGACAATGTTCTGGTGCCATATCTGCAAGCAGTTTGCATCTACCTCTCCCAGCTTCGGCTTTCTAAAGGTGGTCGTTTCCTTGTAAAGTTGTCCCCTAAAAAGATAACCTATTCACACATTTCACTTCTGTCCCCGTGCAGCACTGCAGATTAGCGTCAGCACTATGCAAGGAGGTAGTTGATCGCATCCCATGCAAGCTGCACACACGAGTACTGTAACAGTCAGATCAAATAAAAACGTTTGGCCACCCAGTTGTCATGAACGACCACCTCCATTTCAAAGAACACGATGTCTTGTCAACTTGCATCAGGACAGAAGCACTAGAGGGAACCCGACTGATCCATGATCAAGTCCTTTGAATAAAGGTCGATTCAAACGGCATGTTTTGATTCCATATTTGTACATACATTTATGATCATTTCCGTATGTGTGTCACAGATGCACGTAGGTGACCAAACAGACTGCAAAATATCTAGGAAGGAAGTTCAGCGCGCTCAAGTCGAACAAACTTGAGAGATCAGAATGCTGGCTGTAGGACCCTGTCGGCTTGTCACAGCCCTTCGAATGCCCACGCCTGTTAGGTAGCAAAGAATGCAGCTGGTTTCTACGAACAACTAGGGGTATTTGCTGGAGCACTTGTGGTGGCAGTACCTGTGATTAGTTTCTCGGCCATCATCGGCTTCATCCTCTTGAGGTAATTGCTCTGCCAAGTACCCATTTCTAGCCCTAGCCCTGCCCATGCCCACAACACGAATAGAGGACTCTGAGTATTCGCAATGCGGGGGTAGTCAAGTGGCTTTTAAAGACACCTATTTCCGTCTAAGTCACTCAAATCTACTCAAGCTCTTTCGTGCTTCCATGTGTTGTTTTGTTTGTGTTGAGGGCTCAGTTCTGCAAGATCTGAACTCGACGGCGAAGAATTATGGAAGATGTACTGCTTTGAAAGTTGTTAGAGCGACTGAAGAACCAAGGTGGATACCGCTATGTTCGGTTGACGCTGGGTGAGCTTCTTACACTATGGCCACTATGGAGTGGCTTGAGAGAATTGTTTTGGTTTTCGAAGCTCAGGTCGATACTGGCGGCAAGATCTCACCGAGTTGTTCTTGGAGAAGTATTTGTCGAATCGATCCTTTTACTTGCTTGACTCGATTCCAAGCTCAAACTAGATTTGTGATATTCGTTGATATTCTGCAACGGGGCAGGGACTGTGCAGTTTCTGGTTTCATAGTTTCATCTCTCCTTTTCCTCCCCATCCTTTGTTGATTTTTGCCCGTGGTTGTTCTCTTTCGACTGGTGCTGCAGCTGCTGGAGTACGCCCAAGCATCACGGGCTCTGGGCAGCTTTCTGCAGTATGGGAGCAGGTGCATTATCCGACTTGCAAATTTTCATGAGTTAAGGAAACTAAGTGAACCCATGCAATTGCCAGGAGCATGACCTGAACCACCCGCTCTGGATCAACAAACAAAATGCAAAACCGACAAAAGACATCAAAAGACCAGGATTATTGTATAGTACCTTTCTTGCTGAAAAACAACATTTTTATGCATTTCTAGGAGTCTGCATCCATACCTTTGAACAAAGCAAAAGGCAATGGCTCAGCTTGCCTCTTCTCGTAAGGGCTCGAATCAACCAAGGTTCAGACCCATAGATTCAGCAATTCCGAACCGTGCCAGACTGGATGGGTCCTTACAGATGCGATCCTTAAGTGGGTCCCTGGTCATTCATGTTGGGATCCTTTGCAAGCGCATTCATGGGTGTGGGTGTGGTTGAGGCATGCTTGCGCATAGGGTTCTCAGCACCATTGCACACAAGACCTCCTTCTGGTAATGTGTCTCAAGGTAGCCCTTTTTTTTCTATGTGCCGGGCCTCCATTGGAGGTGCTCCGAATGCTGAGTGCCTGCTTGAATTGGCATTTCTCCAGTGGTCGGTTTTGGGTTGCAGTCCCTTGTCCTCTTTATATATTTCTCGTCTTACTGAGTCTTACTCCAGTTCGTTCTTTGTTTTTCTCGGTAGTAACTTCATCTCTATAGTTCGAACGATTTCGTTTTTTGTTTTCTGTTTATGCGTTCCCTACGAAAAAGTCAGTTAGCTTCACAGCAGCATGTCTTGAAAACCGATATGTCACATTCATTGCCTCACCCTGAACGTTTGCGGAATGCGTAAAGAAAAGCCTGGATGTCTCGTTGGCTCGGATAAGAAGTGCATAGACTCAGACATAGACTCCTTGGACCTACAGTTACAGTTTTGCCAGCAAGCTTTAAACATCTTTAAACCAGGTCTACATCGTAGGAAGCAATTCAAAGACCCTAGCCATTTAGTCAAGAGGAAAAGTTGGCCTTGGGTGGGTGATTTGCTCGATGAAGTCGTGCGTGTTGGTTCCGTTGCAAGAAAAGAGCTGGAGAGCTGGAGGACCAGATGTTGCCATGAGGAAATGTCGTCGTTGAATCTGAAGTGTATTTTTGTTCCACAAGGTTGACCATGCCAGCAACCCAAGGAATTCACAAAGCACTGACGCCGACAATCCAGACCAACGTATCTCCGAGGATGTGAATTATTTCACCAAAGTCACCTTGGACTTTCTGTTTCTTAGCGTTCTAAGCAAGCATTTGCCAGAAGTTGCATCATCAATAGTACTTGAGCGGGTTGCTTGGGCTTTCATGGCGAGCAATTGCACTTGTCCTGACTTATCATTGCATGCTCTGGTTTGCCGAACCAGTTTCCTGATGTTTATTTGCAAAAGGAACTTACAGCTGGAAACCTTGCTGCCTGCACCGCTGCTTCTGCCGCCGTACCAATTGGGCGGCAATGCAAGGTTGGATGTGTTGGACAGTATTTTGAACCTGATCTCTTTCTCTGCCATTCTTTGGTCAACTTCACAAACACTGACCGGAGCCCTTGCGATTTATGACACTTGGTGGAAAGGTTGCGTGGTTCAATATTTCTCCGGCTAGCTTTGTTTGGTGGTGGGGCCACCGAAGAGACGCTGAAAGCGAGAACTAGCAAGATCATGTTTTGTGAGTCTGTGCCCAAAATTTGGCATAAGTCTGCCGCCTTGAGGCACTTGTTGGGACCTACATTGCAGTTTTCCTTGGAGGACAACGTGAGACGAAAGCCTTATTTTGTGTCCTCCGTTCCGCACGTTTCAAAGCCAGGACGCTTGGTTGGTCTCAACTACCAACAGCTTCGTTTGCAGGCAGATTTCCGCTACAGTTGCAGACTCAGTGGCCCTGAAGTGCTGCTTGAGGCTCACCAAGCGGCACCGGCTTCCAGAGCAAATCTGGTAAATCAGTGGTATTTTTGTGCTTCAATTTGTGATTTTCAAATTTTGTGCTTCATTTTTGCTTTGCATTTACAGTTGAGGTTTGGTCCATATCAGGGATAATGCGGAAGCAATAGCCTTCTACGGGGGCGAGAAGCGGGAGCAGGGCGAGGCATGCGCCCTGGAATTGCGTCCTCTGAATTCTCGAAGTTTCACCAGTCTCTTGTGACTCTTGTGCCACACTGCGGAAACGTATCTACTGTAAGCAGCAGAAGTATTGTAGCATAGCTGCGGGAAGAGAGCCATCTCTTTATATACACTGTCACGGTCAGAAAAACGGTATTTAAAGCGTTTTTGCGTTCCCAGCCAGCCAAACGGCGCAAATATCAGTATACTTGCACAAAAAAACGCAAGCAGCAAGGAGTAACTGCTTAAGATTACACGGACCCCAAACAGTGTGGGGGTAGGAAGTCAATGTACCAGATACAAGCAACAGTAGCTATGGAACAGAAACAGATGAGGTTAAACATGATCGCAACTGCAACCTTCTATATAGATCTATATAGAGGAACTCACAAGATCTTCAGACAAGAACTTCCTATGAGCATCCCCAAGGAAGAGTTTTCATACAAGCAGCAATGCAGAGAGGATCTTCAATGATCTTCAAGATCTTAATGCAAGGACCTCTTGAGGAGGATTTGAACAGGATCTCCACAAAGAGCTTCTCACAAGGATTTGTACCAGATCATGTAAGGACACCGACAGGATGTCACCAGGACCTCTTCAAGAGCTTTGTGCAAGGACTTGTACAATATCATGCAAAGGCCCCTGGCAGAATTCCACTAAGACCTTCGCAAGATCTTTGCACAAGGAATTGTAGAAAACCTTGAGCAAGATCAGGACGCACACTTTGTGCGACCCTGCGCAGTCGAAATGCACATGGACATCTCAAAAGAGCCATTTTACGCGAGAGTTCTCGGGCAAAATGCCGCACACCAAGACTTAGGCCTACCTTTGCAGAGCTTGCGCTATCGAAATGCACATGGACATGTCACACGAGCAATTTTATACGAGAATTTTCGGGTAAAAGGCACACACCAAGACTTAGGCTTACGTTATGTGCGAGCTTGCACAGTCGAAATGCACATGGACATGTCACAAGAGCCATTTTACACGAGAATTCTCGGGTAAAATGCCGCACACCAAGACTTAGGCCTACCTTTGCAGAGCTTGCGCTATCGAAATGCACATGGACATGTCACACGAGCAATTTTATACGAGAATTTTCGGGTAAAAGGCACACACCAAGACTTAGGCTTACGTTATGTGCGAGCTTGCACAGTCGAAATGCACATGGACATGTCACAAGAGCCATTTTACACGAGAATTCTCGGGTAAAATGCCGCAAACCAAAAGCAAGCAGAACTCGCGCCGCAGACTTGGGTGCGAGCTTGCGCAGTCGAAACGCACACGAGAATTTACGGGAAAAATGCCGGCCGACAGATGGGGCACCCTGATCAAGCACCGGCCTTGACTCCTACCGTAAGAACCGCTCAGTGTGAACACATTGTTTGGGGAAAAACGCAGGTAGTATTTACAGTGGTTTCCGACTGTCAAGAACACTTCCATTTAGAGCCTTTTCCGCGTTCGTTAACTGAAGCAATCACAAACGTCAGTGCGCAAAATCAGCGTAACTAATACCTTTTCCGCATTTTTCTATACGTACAATAAGGTGGGAAAACTCGAGACAAGAAGGTTCAGGCATTGAATCCATTTTGGATCCAACTGGGGATTATATCAAAAGCCACTGCTACGGCGACGGCGTGGCAAATTTTGTAATATATATATATATATGTAATATATTTACAGACAGACAGACAGACAGACAGGCAGGCAGGCAGGCAGGCAGGCAGGCAGGCAGACAGACAGACAGACAGACAGACACCTGTACGCCCACATTGGGGTGGCCCATTTAGCGAAAAGACAGCAAAGTATTTACACACACAAAGTTAAGTTTCAGCTCGGGCACATCATCGAAGGCAGAATTGAACAAACGAATGCTCATGATTTGTCCACAATTGGGAGTCCGAAGCGGCCTGGCGCCACGAGCCAATATTAGCAAAACGGGTATATGCATGAAGTTGCTCCTCCCAAGTGTGTCGTGGGCGTCCAGATACACACACACACATATATATAGCCCCTACCCAAAACCAGTTTTGTTAGCCAATAGCCCGGTCTGTTCTCCCATCGCGACCTGCCGGGCTAGTTTTGATTCTGAGTGTGCAGCTTTACCGCCTTCCCATTCCCGCAGTAGTCATCCCAATTTCTGGACGGATAATTACAATATACTCTATGATATTCGATCCACCAGTCGTGCACTGCACAATTTTTGTGGCTGGGGTCTTGCGTTCTTGCGTGGCAAAAAAGCCCAGTTCAAAGGTCACCGGGAAACTGGATGCAGCTTTGAGAAACTACGATAGCTTGATTACGTGGGAGACGGGGCTTTCCGCATACCAGAAGGCGCGGAGGACCCTGGATCCTGGTGGGCCGCTTCAGCCGCCAGTGTTTGAGCATTTGAGTATCGTCGGCATTGTGTTGGAATGTGGCGAGGCTTTCTTCTACTTAGCACGGCTTGTCCCCTACTCTGTGCTTGGCGGGCTCTACTTCTCCGGGCAGGTCAGGACGTTCTGTGCCAAACGCCTCATGCAGCAAAAGTCCCTCGTTGAAGAGACGGCTGAATGAATTTCCCCGCCGCTCCTGAATGGGAAAATTTTATATATGAGAAAATTTTATTAAACACACACACACATATATATGTATATCTATATGTATATATATCTATATATGTATAAATCTATATATATATATATCTATATGCATATATATATATAAACAAAATACAAATATATATAATATATATATATAATATCTAAATAAATAAAGAAATCACAATAAATTATCAAATAAATAAATAAAAAATATATCTATATCTATATCTATATCTATATCTATATGTATATATATACACACAAATATTTAAATAAATAAATAAAAATATATATATGGTCGAGCGTTCCAACCCCCCTCCCCCCCGGCCATGATCATGGGTCAGCCATAGTACGGCCCCCCTCCCCACCCTGTGATGTGGTGGGGTGTGGTACTGTCCGCTGTGGTGTGGTGGGGGTGTCGTACTCTCCCCCTCCTACCCCTGTAGTGTGGTGGGGTGTGGTGGTGGGGGTGTAGTGTATGTATGACAATATGTATATATATATGTATATGGCATGGTGGGTATGGTGAGTATGGTATGTAATTATCTGATGTACGGCATGTTTGATATGTATGGTATGCTTGGCATGTATGGTTGGTATGGTATCTATGGTATGTTTGGAATGTATGGTATGTTTGGTATGTATGGCAGGTATGGTATGTGTGGCATGAGTGGTTGGCATTGGATGTTAGGTATGACATGTAAGTCTGTTGCGTATGGTATGTTTGATTTGACAGTATGTATGTTCTGTATGGTATGTATGGTCCCTATGGGGTATGGAATGTTTGCTATGTAAGATAGGTATGGTATGTATGGCCTGTATGTTTGGTATTGTATGTATGGTAGGTGTCGTAATTATGTTTCATATGTATGGTATATGTGGTATGTATGATAGGTATGATAGGTATGGTATGTATGGTCAAAGTTCGTATGGTATGTATGGTACGTATGGTATCATTGGAATGTGTGGTAGGTACCGTATATGTTAAACACATGTAGTTTTGTGAGGGTACACAGGTAGTAAATAGGAAGTAGATACATAGCACATGCCACATGTATATACGACTGTAGGTAGCACGTAGGTACTTTGAGGGAGTATGTGTGCTACGTAGGTCCTCTAAAAGGTAGCATGTACCTAGTAAATGCGAGGATGGTAGCCAGAAATGCTGCAAAGACTTAGCAAATACGAGGCTGGACCTCAGAAATGCTGCCAATAGCTTGCAGATAGAAAGGAAGGGGTGCTACCTGGGGACCCATACCATTGGGGGGGGGTAAAACACGGAACACGAGACCATATATAAATATAAATGAATAAATAAATATATCAATAAACATATATATATATATATATTTATATTTATATTTAAATATATATATATATATACACATACACATACATACATACTCATATTCTATGTCGTCCCCGTCAGAAACCAATCCTTGTTCAAGGCCTGGGATCCAATGCTGTCAGGTAGACTTTGGAACCCTTGGCCAAGCACAGTTTGCCTTCAGCATGGCACTGACCTAAGCACGTCTGAAAGGCGGTTGCTGTGGATCTTTTTGGAAAACCAAACAATTTTGTTTCGTTCTTTTGTTCTGAGATTCTCAGGTCCTGGGTTCCGTGACCATCATCGTCTCGCGCATACAGGATACTGGAAAAACTTTGGTTGTCCGTTTTCTGAACGCACGCTGTCGTGAAAGATGCGCCTTCCCCTTCTTGCGTTGCAATAAAGCATTCCTTGGGCCTTGGTCCTATTTCCTGCAAGTGAAGATTTGTGAAGGAGATTTCCCGCTTCTCGGCTGGTATCTCCCGCCTGGGCGCCTTCTGGCAGGCAGGGGTTGCTGAATAGGTTCGCTTGATGGAGATTTTGGCAGAGGCCCTGATTCACCCTGATGTTTTTGAGGCTCTGGCACCTGACGTGGTGATGCTCAGATGGGCGTCAGAGGGGTTTGTGAGGGTTTGTGCACCTGAGGGTTTTATTTTTGGACTTTCATTAGTTTGCTTTCCTAGCTTCCTTTTTGAAACAGGCGTCACAACATGCCACAGGCAGAAAACCGCTCGCTCAGGTGCACACAGAGCAGCACAAAATTCACACGACAGAAGGAGTTTGATTCCTAGATTCCTGAAGGGTTCCACCTACCAATCACAGCACAGTGCAAACGCGGCAACGTGGCACCAAACGATGGATCCTTGCTTGGGGCAACTATCTTGGACAGCTGAACATGATACTTTTACCTTACAATGTTTATCAAAACCAAGTTGTGTTTGCGCAGTTGTGGCCCCTGAATGGTTGGCTAAACCAAACCGCAGCTTCCACACTTGACGCCCGTCCCGTCCTGTCTTTGGTTCTTTCAGAATGTGCAACCAAGTCCGGACTCCAACTGAATATGACGCTCTACACTCCAGCCACGGCCTTGGAGGGTTTGTGGTTTGGACATGTGACCTGTTCGTGCGGTGCACTTGCACACTTGGCACTGGAAGCACTGGATAAGGATGGATCAAGGCTTTTGGTTGAGGGCCTCGATGTAGCGCTTGCTAGCGCAGGCCGTGGACATTGTGACGAGGGAATTTCAAAGAATCCCTACGATTGAAATCCGGAACCTTTCGCCCAGGGCCGCAGCGGAGACTTTTGGTTGTGGGCAGCTCTGGAGTTGGCAAAAGCTCAGTGCATTCCCAAGTATTGCCAAATTGCATTGATTTTCACTTTTGAGAGTAAAAACCTGCGTGCTGTCCAGTCTTGCCGTGCCAAATCCCAAAGTGTTGGAGGTTCTGAGGGCGATTGCTGGACTGTGGACGCGAGGGGAAGGTGCCCAGCAGATATTCAAACCGACTTCTTCCATATACTGATTGACTACTTGGCGCACATATGCATTATTACTATATGAAATGCTAACGCAGGTTACTATTATAGTGTGTATTCATGTGCATACGGGCATATACAATATTATTATACAATGAAATTGGGCAGAAACCAGTGTAGCAGATTTTCGTAGTCGTCGTTTCTACTGTTGTGTCTGATTCTGGCAGTAATAGTTTGCACATGGCTTTGCACTGCATCACGCATAGAATGCGCACTTCACTTGTGCACACATTTCAGGCAGCATCCTCCGACCATCTGCATCGGAGATGCAGGGAACCAAGTCATCCCTGGCCGTAGCCCCTAGTGGCCGTAGCATCCTGGCATTCTTGGCCTTTCGCTGCCAAGGCTCTTCCTTCCACAGAGGCCTACTGGAATTCTAATTTTTCCAATTCTACCATATTCTATCTAATTCTACTGATTCTGATGCAGCGGGGGTGTTTCAAGTCGCGGGAATGGATGTCCTGAAAGGCCCTACATGCCTCTGGGTGACTTGCGAACCCAGCTACTATATCCATCAGCCTGGGCCTCGCTTGCCTTGCACATGAGACACCTTTGCAGCTTCGCCGCGTATACCGGCTGCAGCAAAATATTGGACCAGGAAGGCACGCTGGGACACGTGCCCGATGAAGATCTTCGAGAGATGTCCGGAGCTCACGCAATTGACTTGATCGCAGTAATTACTTCCCGATAAAATCTCAAGGTTTCGCTTTGCAAAAAGTGGCATCTTCCAAGCACCACTTGGTTGTAGTTTCTTTGCTTGAGAGTGTCAATGCTGCGTGGTCGTAGCTTCATTTCTTATAATCACCGCATCAGCCATCATCAAGCTCTTTGTCGTACCGAGACTTTCCCGGTTTGGCCTCGGTGACCTTCCTGATCGTTTCGAAGGAGGCTTTGAGGCTGTACAGGCGAGGAAGCCAGAAGAAAGTAGTGTCGTGCTGTCATGACAGCAATGACTGTGCAAAGAAGAGCAGAATCGACTCGTGCATCAGAATCGATGATTCAGCCACATTGTGCCACATTCACCTGGAAGCTAAATCCATCTGTGTTTGTATTATATAAATTTAAATACTGCAGCCTTACTCTGTCGCTTCTGACAAGGATTGGTCGAGGGTCTTGTCACTCGGGGAGCAGCAGAGACTGGCCGCTGCGCGCTGTCTCACAACGACCCTTGGACGGTTTTCATCAGAAGGGCTGTGCCAGAATTCAGCTAGCCTAGTTGCATTGATGCCAAGAAGAGGGAAAAAACCTTCTGTCTTCTAGCCTGCCGCTTTCTGTTTCGCAGAATTCATATCTCTTTGGGGGGGTTCCCTGAAGCAATGGTCCACGGCCGCAGCTTTGGCTGCGCAGCCAGCTCCCTTGAATTCTCTTCTGCGCCTTGCAATGTTAGAGAAACATTTGCAGGTTCTCTCCACGAAATCTTCAAACCTCCAAAGTGCTGTCAGTTTGTACGCGTGTCACTCCTTTCATTGATGTATGCGGTAATGCAGAATATATTCAGTCCTTATTTTGTCTTCGTTTTCTCGAAGACAACAGGGAGAACTCTCCCTGTGTGCCGTCCTTCCAGAGAATCCTGCCTCTGCACTTGGACAGCCACTCACATCCAGGTCTATCTCAAGGATTTTAAAAAGTTTTCAAGGATTATTTCGCCATATTTCGCCGCTCAGTAGGATTGTAGTGGTTGAAGCCCAGGAGGCCTCGCTTGGTAGTTCTGGACGAGGCTACTAGCGCCCTGCCACTACCAGCTGAGCGCATGGTGTATGAAGAGCTGCTTGACCACAAGATACCACAAGCCATACAACGTTAGGATATATATATATATATCTATGTGTGTGTGTTGAAAAAAGGAGGCAATGCTTGTCAATGACTTTCATCATGTTCCATAAGATTCCACAATCATCATGTTGGGGTTCTGAGTTCTGCCGGGTGTTGTGCCATTGACTGACCACCTATGACTGAGTTATCCTGAGTTCACATTGCTCTCCTGAAAAAGGTCCTATTTCGAAGTGGCACCACAGAATTTGCACCAGCTAGGGTACTGGATTGGTTGATGAGGTTCTCTGCGGATGACCGCATTGAAGGGTATGTCAGCGACTAAGACGTGTGTTCAAACTGGTTTAAACTTAAGCCATGCTCACTCCAGCCTCTTCACTGTATGTAATTGTTTGATATTGTTTGTCTGTGCTTCTGAGGTTTCGGTTGGACATCGGGTCAGCTTGAGCCAGTATCATGATGTACACCGGGCACGCTTGTTGTAGACTTTGTTAAGCTACCCATGCAAGTGCTGCAAGAGCACCACCGAAAATCTGACGGTGGGCAGGTCGTGTTGGAATTACTGGGTGGTGGGAGCTGGAGAATCCTGACACCGCAGGAGTACGAGGACCCGTTCCAGCCATGACAAACTTGACGCTTTGAGACAAGCATAGACCACAACAGCTCTCCAAAGTGACTCAAGAAATTGAGGGAGAAACTACCCAATCAGTTCAAAGTTTGCTGTCAACAACATTTCAACTTGCTAATTCGTTTCTTGCATCTTCTTTAATCTATGCCCTCTGTCCCGTCGTTTCTGTCGCCAACGAAAAGACAGCCTGATGAATGTACCTTCGGTGGGGATAGAGGAAAGGGGTCACTCAGGGAGGCAGTTGGAAATCGTTCTCCTTTGATCAAATCTGCCAGAGCTGCAGAGCAACACGAAGCGAAGGATTTCTTGCACTTCACTGCGAGCTATACGCACTATATTAAAGTCACTACATATAACTGTCGGTGGTACGTAGTGGTACAGAGAGGTTTTTGAGAGGACATACTTTCTGCCAGATGCGACAATGGCATACAATGGCTTTATCGGATGTGACAATCAAAGAATATCATACGGCATAGGGCCATACTTGGGACTATCGAATCGCTTTGTCACAAATTCTGAAGTTGTTGGTAAGAGTCAAGTGTTCAGACAAGACTGCGAGAGGCAACTGCTGCTTTGAGATAGGCTGCGAGAGGCAGCTGCTTCTGTGCGATTAGACTGACACAAATCAAACCTTCGGTGAAAAGTGAACAGACACGGTGCGGAGAATGGAAAGAGAAAAAGAACGGATTCAACTTGCGCATTCCTTTGCCAAGTTTTCACAGCTATCACAGCTTCATCAGCCTCTGTACTTGGATGCATTTGGATGTATCAGGTAAATAGTATCTATCGTACACCGTATACCGGTCCGCTGTTGAATGTCTTGCATGTTTGCTCATGTTCTCTTATGTACAATCCTGTGGGAAGAGTCGAACAGATGGACTGACGTGGATGCAGTAATTACTGTAGTCTGAACGATGAACGTTGTCACATTTGGTCTGCATCAAACTTATGCAAATATGCAGCCGTACGACTCAAAGGCTGTATTGTGGTCCAGCAACAGCTGAGTTTCATGCATGTGGCATAGTGACGCAGACTCCTTGTAAACATCCTGCACTTTGGGCGACACTTCAGGGGGCGGATTAGACGCCACTACAGCACTTTCAGAACATTCTCGAACAAATTCCCGAGCCATGAACGAGCTTCTTGCCTGATATGTCTGAAGCTCTAGCCGCCAGCTTCTCAGTATTCCGGGACTGTTTCCTGCAGGTGGAGAGCACCGAGAAAGGGTCAGAACTGAGGAATGCGGGCAGCTTGTACGTCCCATGTATGTGCATACATTTGGAAAGAAAGGTGTATAAGCATATGTATCATGTATACATATATATATATATATCTATATAGATACACATATCGGTATGTATCTATCTATCTATCTATCTATATAAATATACTGTGTAGACGAAAACATACGTAAATTTCCATTCCATTTCATTTCATTCCATCCGATTCCATTCCATTACATTACATGATTGCATTACGTACGTAATGTAATGCATATTTGCCGCCACACATATTGAGGGCTACACGTTTGGGAATGCAGAAAGACCGGCAGTTTTTCTTCGCTGCAAGCATGCTGCAGCCATTTTGGGCAGACAGTTTAGTTTCGGAGATTTCATGGCATCAATGCCGCGACGCCGACTTTGGATCCTGACTCTGGTGCACCTTCTTGAAAGAAACATTTTCCATGTATTACCACTTTTCCCCCCTCATGTGTGCGTGAGTGCCGAGTAATAGCAATGGACCTCCCAAACACGTGCGGCGTGTTCGCTTGACTTTATTTTTTTTGATTTGATTTCTGCAACATCTTGTCTGCCTTGACAGGTCCCTTTGCTGTGGGCAGCCTCGTCTACCTGCTGGGCCAGACCACCAGAAAAAGAACAACCACATATGGCTTCAAAGGGCGTCGCCATATTTGCCGGGGCAACTTGGCATGTACTCAAGTGACAGTTTGGCTTGAGAGGGGCGGCAAATCTACAAGGACTTTCTTCGTGCAAAGTCCAGGAAATTTGTTTGCCGATTAAGCGTGGAAAGCCACAAGCATGAAACTGAGCGAAAGGTGTTCAGAATACCACAAAAAGCACCCACGCATGCATACATACCTACGTGCACACATACTGGAATATGGTTATGTAATCTTATCATACATATATATATAATATATTTATACATCCTTCTCTCAAACTCTCTCTCTCTCTATGAGGTAATTTGTTCTGTGTGTGAGTGTGCGTGTTTCGTGCAGGTTGTTCATATAGCCCGTATGCTGCTTGCAATTTTGACTGGCAATGATTCAAATGCCTTGTAGGGATTCAGTGGGGGCATCCAAGCCCAGTTGCTGCTTGTTCTAGAGCGGTGGCATTGGTACTGTATCACCCACCATCCAGTTTTAAGCGAATCCTAAGAATTCTGTGCAAGAGCTGAGGTTGGCATGGTTCTTTTGTGGGAAGCCTTTTGCACTGTCTTCTCCAACGACCGGCCCACTATTTTGGCAGAACTTTTGAACTTTCTCCTTTGCCGCAGGAGGCACTTCACCCAAGCAGAGAAGCGGGAAGCTGTTGCATCGATTTTGTATCACAAAATGGATGAATTTACGATGATTCGAAATCCGGCCAGTCATTTTTGGTCCTGCCGTGCTGTATCTCGCGAATTTCCAGATGATCAACCTGAAAACAAATCTGACGGAGCGGGTATGGTGATTTGGGACTTGGAAGAATCTTCAGCAGGTCCAAGAGGCTTCGTGCCGAGATCCGAGGGATCAGTGATTTTCTTTGCAAATCACACGTTGGCAATCGAGCCAGGCACCAAAGTGGCTGAAGTGGTTCTCTTACGTGTTGGAAATCTTTCAGATGAAGTTGGAGCAGACCTGGCTACGGTTGATGGGACGGCGTTTGCGGGCAGCAGTTACAAGGCTTCAAGGCAGAGAGTTGTGTTCGCTCCAAACTCTTCCAGCGCAACATTCTCGATTGAACTATTGGACTGTCCTCTTTGTGTTTCACACAGATTCTTTGTTGCTCATGTGGAAGCGGTTCATGGCAACGCCACAATGGGAAGCTCTTCATTTACTCGAATACGGCTGCTTCCTGAAGGTGTGTGGCCACCTGGTGCCCGGCCAGAAGATGTCTTGGAAGACACGCGCTCACAGGATTCGAAGTTGAAAAATGTTCCCCCTGCAAATGGTTCAAGCATCTCTCCCACAGGAATTTGGAATACTGTAGGTGGGGGAGCCAGATGGACCCTTTTCTTTTTTTCCGCACCATCCGTCTTGGTCTTTAGTTTTGTCCTTCTGCTCAGTGTTCACCAGGCAGGGTCTTTTCCCAAACTATTTTGTAATCATTGCCTGGGCTTAAGCAGAGCAAACGGGAGTGAGGAAGGTTGAGATTGAAGAGCATCAAAAGGCTACAGCATTTTGTTTTGAGAAATGCATTGCAGACAGATCACCGCAGCCATTCCCGCCTTCTGTCATCCCCCCTTTCTGGCCTTCCATGTTGTCTGTCGTTTCCTTGTTTGCAGGTACCTATCATATTTCCCAACATGAAGCCTCCCATGTCGTGCTGTCTTTTTTTGGCAGAACCATACCACGATGGCAGTTGCATGTCACGGGGATATACATGTGTGCAAGCAGCATTTTGTTTTGCGGTTTCTGTGGAAACTGTTTACACGGATCCATGAAGTCTCAGAACCGCCATGGCACAGAGACAACAGTATCCATTGTTTGGGCTTGAACCAATTGCAATTTGAACTTATGATCTGGGCTAGCTACATGCCAAACGACTTCTAGCATACCACTTTTTGCTGTGTGTTTGGATGCCTGGGAAACCAGGTCTCCTGTACCAAGCCCTTTCGCTTTCGTGTAGCCTTGTCTGGGCCTTGAATATGCTTTGCAATATCTTTATATATGCTACACGGTGCTCATGCGGGCATTTATCATCACCACCCATCCCCATCCATGTCACCGTTCACCATCACCACCGCCTTGCCGCCCCCGCCACGCTGCCGCCGCCACCATCACGACCAGCAGCAGCAACATCATCAGCGTCATCACTGTCACCATCTTTGTCACCGTCATCATCTTCATCATTGTCGTCGTCACTGTCATCCTTCCCATGGTCATGCTGCTGTTCGTCTTTTTCATTGTCGCACTACAAAATTAATTAAACATCAATGCAGAGATAGGTGAATGACCCACTATGGGGCAAAGTGACTTGGGGACCATCGCCCTGCACGATGGGGAGGTTTTACGTAACCGTTTCAATTTTCAACCGATGTTAACCCTGAGGGCAGGGTGAAAAGCCGATTGGCACGGTTGAGATTGGTCTTCGCCTTTGCAAGCCAGCTCTTCCGGCGAAGAGGCATGAAATTTTGGTACGTTTTGACATCGATATTTTGGCTTGATTTTCATCGGGTTGTTCTGAACACCCTCCTACTGAACTATGCCTTGTACGACTTTTGCTTGACCAAAACTGCTTTTATAGTGGCATGTCAGCGCTTGCCGCTGATTGTGCTTGCAAAACTTGCTCTGGTCTGCGTGGACCGTTTTGCGAGCCATGTGAAAGCTACAGAATCCGGAGGCCTTTCTTCTACTTGCTTTTTGCAAGAACTCCTTATACATCAGTACCTGGAAAGCATTTGATCATTTTCATGCCGCTACAGAGTGTATAATATATCATTTCTATGCAGTAGGAACCTTACCAAAATTTAGGCGGCTTTGTGGGTGTTTACGCCCGTTCCCGATGTCTTGGCCATTCCTAAAATATCACAACTCCACCAGATTTTTTAAACGCCCCTTTTGTTGGTTCAATCATTGCAAAGTGAATAAAGTGACAAAAAACACCAACTCGAAGTGGCCTGATTAGAAATGTAACTTACGCATCGCAGGTATTTGCAATCCACAGATGACACCATTGAGCTCGGCAAGTTCTTGCACATGCTTTCGGAGACAGTCCCAGAAAGCGTGACATATGGCTACAGGACAGTGTATGAACTAGTGCATTGCTTGGTGACCATGGTTCTCTCCATTTTAATGGCTTTGCTCGTGCCAATGCTGAAAGGCAAAACACCATCCATTGAAGCTTTGCAGCCATTGATCTGGATTCTTGTTCCGCTACATTGGACATTCGTAGTTGGTTTTTGGATGCGACAGCCAGCTTTCAATTATTTGGCCATTCGCGCCCGGGATGCTGATATCGAAAAAAACGGGGCCATGATCGATTTGTTGTATTGCAGACAGTGGTTGAGGGCATATGACAATGCGTACCCGGTTCAGCATGTCCGGAGTGCCTTTGATGAAGCATGTTCATATTTCTGTCAGCAGCGATCTGACTTTCTGGCATACAAATCAGATACTCAATGGGTTGCGCGATACTTCGGCGAACTGACCAAGGTTTTTGGCATACTCTTTGGTGGCTACGCAGCTTTGCAGAATTCACATGTTGGTGAGGGCCAGATGACGTTAGGTCGCTTCACCGTGTTCGTGAGCTTGTACAGCATTATAATTGATGTGATTTACATGTTCCTTGATGCTTGGGATGGGATTCTTTATGCTGGAATTCTAGTTGAGGAGCTGTGCCAATTCGCAAATCGCCACGCTCCGTGCAAGTCGTCCAAGACATCTACGTCGTGCAAGTCCAAATCGAAACGGACCTTACACCCGCAGAAATCGATCATCGCTGAACATCCTTTGGTCACGGGCAGATTTGCGTTGAAACTTTCCTCTACAGATTTTTACTTTACAGCTTCCGCCAAAAAGACGGAGGCAACACTGGAGATGCCTTTGGGTTTGGCTTATGGCATTCGTACCTACAGTGATGCGAGCTCGTTGCGCCGTCGAGTGTGTGAAGTTCTGGGAGGCATGCGTGTGCCCAGTGTTCACAATGACCTGGGCTGTGCAAAGCAATTACTTCTGAAGCCTCCAGTAGGTCTTGCCTCTGGGACCGTCCTCGAAAATCTTCTCTCCAATGCTGCTGCTTGGGTTCGCGCCAGTGATGTAATTGCCTTGTTGGCAATACTAGGCATTCCCATCCCAGCACCCAAAGGTGTGAAACTAATGCACAGCTACGATGCCAGTGAGCTTCTGGATCTTTTGGCTCGCTCCAGTGGGTCCAGTTCAAAAAATACACGGAGGGCTCGACAGTTCGATAAGCACTGCGAACGCTTTCGGGAGCGATGCTTTACTTCAGATTTCTGCGTCCTTTCAACAGTTGAAGCAGCTGAGGACGTCTTGCAACCAGCTGAGAAGCATTTGTTTGACTTGGCGCGAGGCTTACTCGCAGATCCTGAAGTCCTGATTGTGCACGATATGTTGAACGTGATGCCCCTTCCATTGGCACAGAATGCCCTTCAGACTATGATGTTTTGGCAACGCCTTGGTGGCTTGAAGGGTATGGTTCTGGCATTCGAAGGAGATTTGGTCGTGCCAGAAGGGTACCCCGAATGGCTAACGCCTGCCGGGGGGCTCCAGCGGACTTTGTTGGTGTCTGAGTCCACCATCGTTTGTGCAGGGCTAAGGATGGCGAGTCAGATCGATTCATGGCTGATTATTCAGCCAGGCGGATTTTTGGAAATTGGCGGTCCAGAAGAGATTGGCGACGAAGATCCGACCACTGTGCCAGCCACACTGAGTTTGGAACGGCGAGGGGATGTGGCCCTGCCAGCGAAAGAGTTGTAAAGGAAAGGACATAGGGATGAGCAAAAAAGATCAAAAAAGGATGAAAAGGGCATTCCTTCAGATAAAACGAACGCTGCGCCATGCTGCGCCCCAACCAATGTCCCAGATTTGCCAACTAAGCAAGTGGCCGAATGGCCCAACATAGTTGTCGATCGTCCTTTCTCCCGAGGTGGATGCAACGCCGCAATCTCCGGGGTCACCATCGCGGTCTTCACCACAGCTGCCACTGGGCAGTTGATGTCATTTTGATTCACCATGATTCACCTAGATCACGATTGGTATGGCTGATTTGCCCAACCATCTCAAGTACTTCGGTGGACCTTTTTCTAAACTAAATAATATAAAGTAAATAAAACAACAACTAGAATCGAAGCCGCTGAAGCTCCTGGAAACTTTGAGGGTAATGGAGGACCTCCCAGACCTGACCGATCGCATCTTGGCAATGCTCCCGTTTCGATTCGTTTCGATTCACGAATACTTCATGAATCATGGCCTTCCTGGAACCTTCCTCTACATTCCTTTCTGAACAGCGTGCTTTCAGCGTCTCCCCTGGATTATTGGATCGACTTGGACTTTGAGGTATCATGTCCATGGGCCTCTACGAGGAATACCAGCAGCCTGACTGAGCCGTGCAATCCTGGATTGCAACATGTATGTTGAGCAATGACTGCAAGATGTTGAGCCATGTCAGATCTCCACAGTGGCCACGGCCTATGGCTCCAAGGAAATTCCGGGAGGGGAATCTCATATGGAGGGGTGGTGGCCACCATGGTGCCCGTGGAGAGCCAACTGCGCAGGAACTGCCGGGTTTGCTTCATAGCTCGCTGTCAGTTCCAACAAACGTGTCAGCTGATTTTCAGTTCTTTACAGAACCTTACAGAGCTACTTGGTGTCCCTATGTCATGTGAGTGAATTTCCTATGGCCCTATGGCCCTGTTTTGGCACCGTGGAAAACTGAAACGAGAACGAGGTCAAGCATGCGTCCCTCACTTGACACCTTTCTAGAGATTCTAGAGTCTTTGTAGCCTCGAAACTTCAAGACTCCCTGAAGGCCTTAGACCGTTCACCAGAGAGGCAACACAGGCGTGTCAGTGACATCCAGTTACCAGCATTCACCCAGTGCTGTGGCCGTGCATTGTCTTGGAAATTCTTGGGATATCTTGGAGTTGGACTAGTTACCTAGTTGGACTGGTTGGATCGTCGGTGCAGTGGAATCCTGGCTTGTGATTGCAGGAGTTTTCTTCAGAGTTTCTACCCGTCCTTTGACACCTGGCACTGGCGAAGGACAGCCTCATATTGGAGACTTGCCTCATAAAGATTCTTTCTTTCTCATCACAAATCAGCCATGTCACAAACGGGGCGGCTTGTCTGATCAAGCAAATTCAAGCGCTCAGATCGAATTTCATTTCCATTCATTTCCAGAGGGGTTCGGGATACTGTACGCGAAGCAAGGTGTTCCATGGGCCCCTTTCATTGTCCCATTTAAGCACTCAGGATCGCAATCTCCTTTCTGGAAGGCTCACTACTTTTTCTGTTTGGGAGCGCTTTCGGATTTGCGGCTGACAGCGACTTGGATCGACAAGAGTTGCTCAACATGCTTTCACATTGAAGTCCAATAGTGGATGTGATTTTGTGTTATATTGTGCGCATGTTGAGACAGACAGGGTTAAAGCAGCCTTTCAAACAGATTGCCACCCTTTTTGCTTCGAATGAAGTATCGAGGTTGGGGTAAGGAAGCCAAGACATTTTAGGGGTTGTCAGCAACTTAGGTGGATGGCGCATCAGTGTGGATCACCACGTGAATTTAAGACTGAACAAGGCCCCTATTGCGGAGCCGCGATCAGGGAGACCTGTGGCTGCTTGCGCTGCAAGACACTGCAAGTGGATATTATATACATACATACATACATACATATATATATATATATACTGTATATACAGTATATATATATACATTTCCATTTGCATTTCCATTTGCATTTCCATTTGCAACATTTGCATTTGCAACATTTACATGTACAACATTTACATGTACATTTACAATTGCAACACAATACATACATGTACATACATGTACATAAATGTACATACATGTACATTTACAGCATTTACATGTACATTTACAATTGCAACACAATACATACATGTACATAAATGTACATACATGTACATAAATGTGCATAAATGTACATACATGTACGTAAATGTACACACATGTAAATACATGTACATACATGTACACACATGTACGCACATGTACATCCATCTATATACATCCATCTATATACATGTATGTACATATATGCACATACACACACACATATATATATAATACATACATATCAATGCAGAAGCAATATAATCATATTGCCCCTTTCGAGGAGACAGTGAATATTCGTTCGCCCGGTGCTTTCTTCCAACGTCATATGCTTTGGGGTTCTGGGCATTCACCAGCAGAGCGAAAGCTAAATTCAGAAACATTTCAATATATTTCAATATATTTCAATCATTTCAGAAATCATTTCAATGATTTTTTGTCCAGTGATGCCTGGAGGTAATCACCTTCTCTGACATGTTTTTCTACTTCCAACGAACTCCATGTCAGATTTGATGTTTCTATTGATGGTTTGAAACGTTTGCTGTAAAGCGTTCAAACAGTATATAAAGCGTTAAACATGGTTGAGGTCATTTGAGCATAGAGTGCAGTGACAGATTTGTTCGGATGTCACTCTGGGAGGCGCTCAGCGTTTGGCCATCTCTTTTCGGTGGAGTTTTTTTCTGCTTCGGAGCGTACTTGATGTGTTTGGAGTCAATGCGGCTCGGCCTGGCGGAGAAGTTGGAGAACTTGGAGAACTCAAAATCGGTGAAGTGCTGTTGATTCTGGAGATATACTATTTTTCTAATTTTTTCTAATTATGTAGTTATTGAACAGTTATTGAGTTATTGCTTATAATTCCAGTACTCAGTACACTGAAATGATGTGTCACTTGTCCTTCACTTGGGCTCTTCATCCCTTCCCTTTGAGCTTTCCGATTTGGAACGGGTGACCGAGCGAATCTCTACAGTCCGAGGATTCTGAGTTTGGTCTGTTTTGGTGCAGCTCAGGAATGTCATGCGGGGGAGAGACTCATGGAAGACCAATCTCTTCAACGTACCGTCTGTTTTGGCCACCTCAGCCGCAACCACCACCCCATCCACCCCATTCCAATCCATTCCAATCCATTCCAATCTCTCTCACCTTTTGATTTTGAACATGTTTGAATATTGTTTGCATGTATGTGCATGGTCTTCACAAGCGTGACCCTGCAGCTACTTCGGCATTGCAGACTTGAAAGTGGCAAAAGTGCCGTGTTGAGGCATACCTGGATGAGTGCAATGAACAAAATCCCGAAGTGACCCGATGCTTTCCCGCAAGAACCCAGCAGCCGTCAGGAAAGTGATGACGCGATTGCCGTGACGTTGCCATGCATTCATTGTACTATATTGTACTGCATTCATGTGCATTCTGAGAATGATGCGCGTCTAACGTGGTGACCACGTGGTGCTTAGGAACACCATATCTTGCATCAATGTCGTACTTCGCTCGGGTCCAAGTCGACAGTGGCTGGAGTCAAACCGCCGGTCGCCCTCAAGCTAGGTGAAGCAGATGTACTTGGTTTACACACAAGCTGATGGTAGTGAATATCAATGATATAGAATGTGGATGAATGTGGAATGCAATCATGATTCTGGAAGATAGTGGATGTAGTGGGTGCAACTACGCTTCACTCCACAGCTTGCAATGGGGTTTTGCAATTCAACCTGTGGACTGTACAGACCACATTGCTCTGAGGTGGGCACTTTGATCTTTCCTGTGGCATTGGTGGCGAACTTATGGACACACTTAAGCCCTGCCAACAACTTGTGCCTCGCCTTAAAAACATCTAAAAACAGGCCCAGATTTCGGGAACTAATATGTTATATTACATATATAGAGAATATAAGATATTATAAATTGAATGTTTAAGGGGAATGGTCTCGTAATGCACCCTCTCAAGCCGTATGGGGTCAAGCCTGTCGTCCTTGGTTGAAGTCGGAGAGTTTCTGTCGTGGGCCTCTTCCACTCACTTCTTTGGACTTGCCTGTCCCTCTCACTGCGGTCCACCGACCATCTTCTCACTGCTTCTCTCATTCATTGCTGGCCTTTCCTCTGGGATCTCTATCACTCTCGCCATTGGATTTCTCCTTATCTTTTGGTTCTGGGGGGGATTCTCTCATCTTCCCAGGCCTGTCCGGCCTTTTCCTTTCCCCTTTGGATTTGGAGGGAACCGCTCCAGGCTGAGGGGGTATTTGAATGAGCCTGGATTCCACCGGCCTTGCATCTCAACTAGCTGATCTGGCCCACTCAGTTGAACAGCTGACTATCCAGGTGGCTGACCTTTCCCTCAGGTTGGATAGGATTGAGCGGGGCCATCAACCAGGTCCCTATCACTCAGCTGGCTCTGCGGCTTCTGTCGCTGAGTCCACCAGTTCCCAATACGACTTCCTTGCTGGTCAGATTCCTGCTTTGCCTGCTTGGGCTTTGGATTTTTGCAGCACCCTCCGAGAGGGAAAGGTTTCCAAAAAAGACAGAGCTATCAGGGCCTGGGAGGCAGGTCATTGGGCAAGATTCGTTTTGGAAGGAAAGATCGGAAACCCTCGTCCCAGCAAGCCTTGCGATTTGCCAAATTCAGTCTACATCGTTCTTCAGGCTGAAGGCTACAGTTGCCCTTTGCTCTGCGAAACAGCGGCTATTTACCGCTACGTTGTCAAGGATTTCAAGGGCACATTGTCCCACGGCTTTGCATCAAAGAGTGAGGCGAAGATCTATTGCCTTGCTGCCGGATTCTCCTTGCCAGAAGTGCCACATCAATGGCGACCATGACTTTCCCGACCTACGAGGAAGATGTGGATACAGTTTTGATGATGAATGTAGAAGTATTAGAAGGGGATCCTGGAGAAAGCATTATGAGCCAAGTTTTGGTGTTGCTGAAACGAGAAGGTGGTGCCCTTCTCGTGTTTCCCTCAGGAGCCCTTTCGGCAGATGCGTTAGCAGAAGCAGCAGAAGGAAATCCTTTTTCAATGTTTGGTCCTCACACCACGTTCCAAGTCCCTTCTCGAGAGGGTTTTGCAGAGGAAATGATCGAAGTCTTGGTAGTGGATGCAGATACAGTGGCTTTCAATTACATATCTGTCATGCCAAGCCCAGTTCCCGAGGGGGTCACAACCTTTGCCATAGACCCCGCCGTGTTGCCAGCAGTCGAGCCTTTGATGACTGCTACGAGGGCATGGCTTTTGCAGAGCCAGGAAGATCCTGCCCTAGTATTTTACTCTGCGGTAGAAGACCAAGCACTTTTGGAGGAGCCTCATCTGCAGCCTCCCATGATGCCATCTCCAAAAACAAGTGCAAAGCCAAAGGCCAAGAGAATCACGACCACGAGTTTGGCAGAGCAGCTAGGGTCAATTTCAGAGATCCTTCCCTTGCTGACAGCTCAGGTTGCATCTCTCAAAGATGGCCAAGAGGAGTTGAGGGCCAAGTTGGAGGCCCAAGCAAAAGCTGTCCCGCCGAGAGCCAGCCAGCAGCCAGTTTCGGCTCCGCTGCAGAGTTTTGCCAAGATGATTGGAAGCCCCCCTCGCACTCGGGCCTTAGTTGCGCAGCCACCTCACCAAGACCCACTCCAGGCTCAGATCGAGGAAGGAGGAGAGGGCATGGAGGAGCAAATGCCAGGAGGAGGGATTCTAGCTCAGGCAGTCTTGGAGCAGTCAAGGGCCTTAACGAACCTTGTCAGCCAATTACAACAAGGAGGAGACCCTCTGTTGGATGGGCAGCAAAGTGCCTCAGGGATATCCTTGGGGTCCAGGGGGGCCCAAGGCAGAGAAAAGCTGCAGCTAGAGCTCGCCAACAGGTCAGGGAATTTTTTCTTGGCAGTTGTTCAAAATGCATGCAGGAGAATGAAACCTGCCACCAGGCCGCCGACCAGCCTAGAAGCAGCACAGAACATGGAGCTGTCAATGGTCACCTACTTAGAGAAATTCGGTGGCTACGGTGCTTGTCGCGAGATGGGGCTGGTTCAATACAGCTTGGCTCATGTGTTCGATGCAGCTTTGAACAACGATATGGAGGGGGTCAGGGAGCATCTAGCATTGACGATGACGGCCATCGAGCAGGCAGTGCAAGATGGCAACCGCTGGGATCTGGCTTACCAGCTGACCTTGCTGGAAGAGCCCCCACCCAGCTGTGGGCTTTCAGATCGGCTGCGGCTCAGTCGAGACTGAGGGCTTTTGCCCCTCTTTGTGCACAGCGATGGGCAACAGTGGCATTGGCGTATGCGAAAGAGTTGGATTATATTCAAAACAGGAAGGCAGAGATGAACAAGAAGACCTATCCAGTGCCAGCTCAGGAAAACTCCAATGCTACTCCAAAGCCAAAACCAAAAAGGAAGCCAAAATGGCAGGGAGGAGGAACCGCAGGATCATCCAACGCAGCCGACGCAGGGGCCCCAAAGGACTAGAGGAGAGTCCTGGCACCGTTGAGGATCCTTCACCGAGCTCTTCTATGTCAGCGCGGCCTGGGTTTCCCAGGACCGTGATTTTCGGGAGAGGTGAGTCAACGGGGCCAACTGTGGCCTTGCGTGACAGGCAGGCGTCTTGGGATGGGGAGGAGGAGGATGGGGGCAGGCAGACCCAGGCAAAAGAATTCAGACAACTTGGCATTTTTCCGGAAGCATTGCCTGGTAAAGTGCCTATTCCAATCTGGGTCGAGGTACAGGTCAGGAGGCTTTTGGCCTCAAGGACTTCATTTTCTCTCTACCTCTTGAGATCCATCACCCTTTGCCGAGGGGGTCATGATGACAGCCTCTCAACCGCCTTGTTTCCCATTCCTTTTCCATTTTCCAGCGTTTGGAGTGGAGGCCCGAAGAAGATGAACAGCGCAGCTCGGAATTTGCGGGCGAGGAGGAAGCTCTTACATGTTTCCGTGATGGCGCTCAACTTCTTGCATGACAGGGCTCCTTTGGCTAGTTTGGGGCTTCTTCGGAGGCGTCCTAATCAGCACCACCTGCGGGTATTCAGAAGGCTGATGACGCTCATCAAGGCGAGCGTCCTATCCAATTTTGCCACAATGGCAGGGTGTGGACGGAAGAGTTTTCAATTAGATGCAAGAACCAATGAACTGCTTGAAGTCCTAGTCAGGTGCGGGCTTGATGAGAAGTCTAAGTATCATCAGAGCAGTGCTGGAGCTCCTGTTGACCTTTGCAATGACCAGGCAGAGGAGCTACGGCCCTACAGAAGTTTGCAGGCCTCACGCCTCAAGATTACAGGACAGGGCCAGTGGGATTGTGTGCCGTTTTTGAATGACCTGTTCTTCATGCCCTTTCAAGAGCCGAAGTTCAATGAATTTGACATCCTACCTCCCAGGGAGGAGTGTCCCAATGTCCTTGCGGAAGATCCTGAGGAGACCATCAATCTTGCGAGAGTGTGGGATGAGAAAGATCTTTTGAGACTCATCCCCTCTGACCTATGCCCGCAAGACCCACGGCTTTACACTCGCGTGTTCAACAACTACAAGAACCCCCTAGCTGACCGACAGATCGGCGATCGCAGAGGCAAAAACTATGTTGAAGGGAAGATTGCAGAAGGCCCTTCACATAGCCTGCCCACAGGGGTTTCTTTGCTTCAGATCATGCCAGAGCCATATAAGGAGGTATTGAGGGGTTTTGCAACAGACCGCAAAGATTTTTACCATCAGTTCCAGACCACGTGGGAGAGGAGCAGGAGCAATGTGATCTACCCTCTCTTTAAGCTTTCCAAGTTTCGTGGTTTGAAGGGCTATGGTGATTGCAAATCTAGGTTTGTGCGAGCAAGAAGAGCAGGCAGAGAGGCTGCAGGTGATTTTCTGCACGGCTGCCAGAGGAGCATCTTAGTTGATGATGAGTCGCTTGTCGCAGTGGCGTTTTCAGCTATTTTTCAGGGAGATCATCTAGGAGTTGAGATAGCCTGCAGTGCGCATGAGGGTTTGCTTTCAGCTTCCAACCTCCTTGAACCGTGCACTCGGCATGTTTCAGATGCAGCAGTTTTGGATGATGCAGTCACAGAGGGTCTGGTGATAGACGATTACTTTGTGGTTGCAAAAGGCAGCAGCGCAAGTGATTCATGTGCCTTTCTGCAGGCGCAAGAGAGGATGATGAGGGCAAAGGCAGCATACCAACAAGAAGGTATTCTGGGGTCTGATGACAAAGATGTCTGGGGTGAGCTGAGGTTCAAAATTGTTGGAGCAGAAGTTGATTCAAGGGAAGAGATAGTGCGAGATGGAGCTGTTGTTTGTGGGGTTCCAGCGGAGAAAAGGTTAGCACTTGCCACAGTTGCAGCAGTCTCCGCATCACTCCCCTATACCAGCGATGCGCTTCATTCAAGCCTAGTTGGATCAATTGTGTCTGCAATGATGTTCAGGAGACCTTTGATGGCAATCCTTCACCAAGTTTTCAGGGTGATACCTCCTGAGGAGCTCGACCCAAACAGGCCTGTCCTCTGGCCTCTCAGTAGAGTTGCTGCTGAGGAGTTAGCTTTGGTAGCTGCGCTGATGCCAGTTATGTGTGCAAATCTTGCAGCTGCAATGAACCCAGTCATCTATGCGACAGACGCTTCGAACACTATGGGAGGCATTGCGCAAACCACGGTTGATCGTGAGCTTGCAAAATTTCTCTGGAGGTCCTCTGACAAGAAAGGTGCAAATGTCCCTTTGTTGAACAGAGCAGCCGCTGTCCTCCATTCTCACGATGAGAACTACGAGCAGAAGTGCCATGGCTTTCCAGAGGTTGAGGTCATGCATGAAGGTGTCCCACGTCCTATTGGGTTGAGGTTTGAATTTTGTGAAGTATTTGGAGGAGCAGGAGTCGTCACCAAGTATGCCATTGAGCTGGGGATTGTTTGTGCACCAGTGCTGGACATTTCATACAGCAGGCATTACAATATGGGAGACTTCAGGGTTATCCAATGGCTCAATTTCATGTTGGAAGAGAAACGGATCCTTGCTGTCATGATTGCTCCCCCTTGTACGACTTTCAGTCCTGCTGCGTATCCAGCGTTGAGGAGCTATGAGAATCCCTTGGGCTTTGACAGAACACACCCTAGGGTGCTGCATGGGAACCTCATGGCGGGAGCAGGAATCAGTATCTTGTTTACATGCAGAAGGACTCACTCTTTTGGGATGTTGGAGCAGACTCGAAGGTCAAAGATGAAGAGGCTGACAATGTGGACAAACATGTATGCGCTGGGTGCTTCAGAAATTTCACTGGCATCTTGTGCGTATGGTTCTATCCACATGAAGGAGTTCTCCTTTTTATCCATCAACATGGACACAGAGTCCCTGGCAAGACCTTGCACACGAGACCACTTTCATGTGAGGATTGAGGGCAAATACACGCGACCCTCTGCCACATACACCCCAGCATTGGCAGAGGCGATCGCGAAAGTTTTCAGAGAGCATTTGGATGCTCTGAAGAAGGCTGAGGAGAAGTGTGCGCTGAAGGTGGAGGGGCTAGAAGACCCAGTTTCAAATGACTTGGCAGTTGCTTTTCCTTGGAAAAAGACTGATGCTTGGAGATGGAAAGGCGCCTCCCATATCAATTTGCTTGAGACAGCCAGCACACTGAGGCTGATGAGGCGTTTGGCATGTGAAGGTGGTGACAGCAGGACAGTTTATCTTGGTGACTCACATGTTTCCAGATCCAGCATGATGAGAGGCAGGACATCTTCCAACGCCCTCAGACCTTTCCTGAGGCAGAGTGCGGCCTTGTCAGTTGCATACGGACTATATATGGCAGGGAGGTTTACTCCTACAAGGATCATGCCAGCTGACCATCCTTCACGAGATACTGATATCCCCCCTCCAGTGCCTGCATCAATCCTCCGAAAGCTCCCAGCAAAGGCCTTGCAGTGGATCCAGAAGGTATCAAAAAGTAGGAGATGGGCGTCTAACTGGATACGCCTTGTTCTCCTCCTCAATCCAGATCTGCCCTTTTTCTTTTGCTCCCAGGAATGTCTGCGCATTCATCCAATTACACACTTGCCATCACCACTTGCCTACATGGACTTTGATGCTACTTTGGGGTTCCCAGGAGAGGGGCCTGGTTTTGGATTTATGCCTCTCTCCCCCCAAATCATCATCTTCCTCCTCCCGTGTCTCTGTCAATCTCTTAGATTGTCTGGTTGGATTTGGGTTTTGTCTGTAGGGGTAGGTGCGGTGCCTCCAAAGGGAGGAATTAGCCATGGTGATCGAATGCGACAAGCTGCCAGAGCTGGTGTGACACTGGGAGATGGAAGACGCACTACGGAAGCCACTGTCGCAGCACGAGTTGATTTGCTGGAGCGATTCAAGAGCTGGTTGATTTGGAATAGCTATGATTTTGAGGAGATTTTCATGGCGAACCCCCCAAACCTGGACTCTATCAACCAGCATCTTACTGAATATGGGAGGTTCTTGTTTCGTGAAGGCAAGCCATATTTCCACTTCAGTGAGACAATCAATTCTGTAGCTGCAAGGAGGCCAGTGTTACGAAGATCCCTTCAACAAGCTTGCGACCTTGCGTTTCTATGGGGTTCTTTTGAGCCAACAGAACACCATGTGTCGATGCCGTTCCAAGTTTTGCTCGCAATTCTGTCAGTCATGCTTCTTTGGGGTTGGCGCCAAGAAGCAGCATGCATTGCTTTGGCATGGGGAGCCTTGCTTCGTATTGGGGAGGTTTACCAAGCAGTTCGTCAAGATTTGGTCCTACCATCTGATGTTGCTGGAACAAATAGCTTTGCCCTAATTAGAATCAAGGAGCCAAAGACAAGATTTAGAGCCGCCCGTCATCAAGCAGGAAAAGTTGAACAGCCAGATCTCATAGCAGTGATTGAACTAGGTTTTGGAACTCTGAAGAAAGGCGACCAGCTCTGGCCTATGTCTGGAGCCACACTTCGAAATCGACTGAATAAGGTACTGGATAAACTAGGCCTTCCAGTTCGAGCAGGACAGAAACCAAAACCACTGACACTGGCTTCGCTGCGCCCAGGCGGAGCCACTTGGTTGATCACTGCAACGGAGTCTGCTGAGCTTGTCCGGCGCAGAGGTCGCTGGGCGAGTTTTAGATCTATGGAAATATACCTTCAGGAAGTAGCTGCGGCTACTTATCTCAATGATCTGCACACAGATGCGAAGGCAAAAGTACTGCAGGCAATGGAGATGTTTCCAGAGGTGTTAGAAGTGGCAGCTTCGTTTCATAGAGCACAGTTCCCAAGCACGACATGGGCTTGGTTTTTCTCGCATGGAACTAGGTAGGAGTACAGAATGGGAAAAATGGATGCCAACAATTTGAAAGGTGCGACACCATCAGCCTATGCACCACTCTGAAGCAAAGGGTGAAAAATGCAGAGCTGTGCACCTTGAATGTTTAAGGGGAATGGTCTCGTAATGCACCCTCTCAAGCCGTACCCACCGACCACCCCTGGCACCACCAAATCCACAGTTCCATGCTCGAACTCATTTCTGCTGATGGATGCCAACAATTTGAAAGGTGCGACACCATCAGCCAATGCACCACTCTGAAGCAAAGGGTGAAAAATGCAGAGCTGTGCACCTTATATAGTTTATAATATGTGTGTATATATATATATTATGTAAAGCAAGCAGCAAGCATTTGCGCCTCCGATTCTCACCTCAAGTCGCCTGAGCTGTTCAAATGCCAAGAATAGTAGCAACAGTCAACATGCGCACAAAAATTTTGAAGTACTTTCTGGGACATTCTAGGACAAGAGTAAGGGGTAGTCGGTCACGCCCGAGAGTCAGGGTAAATCAGCATGTCCCACCGCTGCATGAGGCTTTTCGCCACGATTCCTAACACCGTTGGAGGCCTGAGGATTCCTCAAGATGTTTGGAGGAAGGAATGAATCCTTGTAGTCCTTGTGCTTGGCAGCAATCGGCCTTCATGAGGGTAGTGTAGAGTTGTGTAGGAAGCGTGTGGGAAATGTTTAGAAGGCAAGGACTCTTTGATTTGGATTGATTTGGTGCATAGAGTCCATAGGATTATCTTTTTTTGCAACCCTTGAACCCCATGGGCACAATATGGCACAACATCAGATCAAGAAGGGGTCAACTTTGGTGGGATGGTTTCGACATGCGACATGCTTGAAAGAACAAAACGGACATAGACTGCACGACAGATGGGCACAAGGAGGGTTTCTTTGGGTTGGGTGCTTTGGGGTCGCCTCTTCTTAGCCCTAACCAGGGCCACTTGGATGATATTTTCGTGAGTGTTCGACGTATTCCGCATATTTCCGCGTTATGATATTCTCGGCTTCCACCACAAACGAATTCATGAGGGTCACAGACTTATTTTTGTGCCCGACTGTCCATACTGAACAGATTTGAACAGTGTCCTCGAGGTGTTGCCTTCATTGCAGGGGGGTTCCTTGAATGTGTTGAGAACCAGGTGGGAGTTGTTGCGAGTGCCATGCAAATAGTGAGGTTTGCTTGCGTTTCGCGCTTGTTGTGAGTCTATGGGTTGGCTAGTTATGCTGCTTGCTGGAGTTCTACAGATGCAACGAGGGAATGTTGATACGTTTCCAGCTGTTACAGCGACATCTGGAAGATTGTGGAAGAATTGCATTTGGATCAGGTCTTTATGACCGCGGCCAGCGAGGGCTCAGGTATTCCCAAGTGCGTGCTTGGACTTAGTGACAAGATGCGACAAGATGCGACAAGATGCGACAAGCATAGATACTGCCACTGGAATCACTGGATGTCGATTGAATTTTGAATCTTCTTTGCTTGTCGTGCGAAGACTCCATAAATTCCTAGAGATCATGAGCGAAGGCAGCTGCTATGAATTTCATCGGCAGCAATCCCAGACACCAAAGCCCTCATTTGTCAAAATGTTTCAACGTATCAGAGAAGTAGCTGCGTAACTGTACCTGTGCAAATGCATGCCACATCAAATTGCCAAGGTGGGATACTCTTTACCATTGGGGGCCTTGTTTTGCGGCTAGTTTGCATCTTCGGTTAGAAAGAGCCAGATGGTGAGTCTCATTTTCTGTGATCTGAGGTTTTTCCCAGACATGGCAGCAGAGAGCAATCTATGCTACACTGTTGGCTCCCTCCTCTACACAGTTGCAAGCAGCCTGAGTGCCACTTGGACTCTCTTAGCAAGCCCATGGGTGAGATGATATTGTCCAGTTTGGGGAAAGATAGCAGGTGGTAGGGTAGCTGTGTGACATTTGGGTGATCCCCCGATTGTCAGACATTTCTGGCACTGTGTGCAAGAGCCATGCCTGAGGTGATTCTGTGGAAGGCTGCCGGGCTAAGCATTCTGCAGCTGCATGGGAGAAGTTTGAAGTGATTTGAACCCAAAACTGAATTATGTTGAACTTGTGTAGATCCAGCAGTTGTTATGAACTACATCGTCATTTCCGTCTCAGAGAGTGTTGTCCCCATTTCCGTCTTGTCCTTGGCTCGAACTTTGGTAGGACGAGCAGTTTGGCTTGGCCTATTTGGCGGCTTTGAATCACATCAGCGGGCAGGACAGTCCACATATCCACAAGAGAATTCTGAAGATCATGTGGTGTTGTTGTCGTCGCATGCCGCCACAAGGAGAGATCCCGATCATTCCTGGCTGGTTCGCAGCAATCAGGAGCATTTTCAGTAGCTTCCTGCATTTAAGCGACAAAATGATCAAAATGCCTCGACAATGTGCATTTGATTTTTCTGAGTTTGACATGCTTCGCCCCGATTTACAGTTCATCACACGACTAAGGTGAGAGGAATCGTATTCATCCATATCTACTGTGCTGTGTCTGTCATTGTCTCTTTGCTGAGTAGTGACCCGCTGCTACTTGTGGGTTGATCCGGTGATGCCATTTGATCCCAAAATTCCCAGGGAAGCTGATTCTTGCATTTGCCGAGGCTGTGATGAACTTTTGCCTTGCTCTCAACCACTTCTTGAGCTCACCCAACCTCTTCACGATGACAAGGGCGGGTAATGATGCCTGGACATGCCTGGACAGCATTTGCATTGTGTGATTATGTATAGAGATGTATAGAGATTTTCGCAAGAGTTGAAGAAACCGTGTTGCTCCTCCACCAGCTTCCCTGTTCACTCAGGAATTCTTGCCCTTTGTTTTGCTCCATTTGGTATTGCTGATGCACTCCGCAGTTGTGAAGACTCCCAAGACTCAGCCTTTTCATGCATCTTTGGCTTTACAGATGACTCATTTTTGTGCAGCACTGCGGTTAGCTGGGCCCTGCGGCTTTCCTTTTCTCGCTGAGGTGCGAGAAAGTTCAAGTTTTTGTTTTATCTCTTTTGACAGCTTTTGGACCCACAAGCTGTCCAAGGCACTTGTGATATCACTTCGCTGCATTACAGTGGCAGCCTGGATGCATCTCAGACCTCTCAGATGCACAAGCATGGTCAAGTGCGGTCAAGCTTGCATCTGAATCCCGGCCGACAGGTGATTATGCTGCTGGCAATTGGCACATTTCTTGCAGGCTAATCATTTGCCATTGACTGCTACTTGCACTATACCTTGCACTATACCTTGCACTATACTTGCACTAGTTGCCCAATGTGTCTCATTGCGTCCCCACAGCATGATGTAGAGACCTAACAGGTCTAACAGGGGTATGCAATGACTGCGATAGTGCCAGGACTGATGCATCCTCCACCACCGCCTTTGCTGGAGCGTCATTCTTTGCGGTGGCATTTTCGCGCACGACCCCTGATCATTTGAGAGACCAGGCCGTGTAGGAGCACTGCACTTCGACATTCGATTCATTTTGGTTCACTTGATTATCTTGATTTGATGCCGGCGGATTTGAAAAGCGACTCGTGGCCAGGAACGCGGAGCAGCTTAATCATAGATTTATGCACGCGAATAATTCATGAACGCACAAATGCACACAGAACTGCATTTGCATATGCGCGCGCACTTACACACACGGACGCACATATGTATATACATACATATATGTCTACAATTATCACATTCTGCTGCATTGCATTACATTACATCGCATTACATTGTATCTAATACACGTACACTCCTTCGGAAGCCTACGCCCTATATATCCCTATATAGCATTGTACTCTTTGAGGGCCAGTGCAAGCGTTGCAACGATGTTTGGTGGTGTTGGCAACCAATGATCCTAGCTGTGGAATGCCGGATTCTTTTAGGGAACAAACACAGGCCCGGAAGCTGCCGATGTATGGGATGTGGTCAATACCAATTTTTTACAGTGCATAGTGAGTGCGAGAGCCATCAGATACCGTTTGATTATGGTGGTAAGCAGTCTGCGCATGGGTTTTCTGATGAGCACACACTTTTCCAAAATGTCAGAAAGGAAATCAATGTCATGCCTGTCATGGCTTGAACTTTGAATATTTGGAATGCGTTTTGCTGCAATTCTGGCCCAGGCTGACCTGTGATAGGAGATAGATTGGACGTTCCTGATCAAGACCCCTTGGCATCCACTTCCTACGGTCCTCAACAAGTTGTTTCCAGATAAGGATATATATATATATAGTATATATATAATATACACACGCGCACACACACATGTATATGTATATACATATGATTTTGATGCATGTATGTGCGCGCATGTCTACATAGACTGACTATACTGCGACTCATGAATGAGTTCTGGGTCTTGTCACTCCGCGAGTACCAGCGATGTTCAACGTGGGATGCCTGCCATGTTGCTTTGGCGTCCGGGGTGGTGCATGCGTACAGGCAGATGTGCCGCGGGCACAGCTATCCAGTGGGACCATTTTGGGTGAATATGTTGGAGGCTCGGAGCATTTCTCTGCAGTGCCCTTTGCCGCTCCGCCCGTTGGCATCCGTCGGTGGAAGAAACCAGAGCCTGTCGAGCCGTGGCCGGGAGAACTCGACTGCAGCAGCCGCCGTCCACCAGACGACCGTCGCGGAAGGCCTGTGCAATCAGTTGATCCCGAGCATGACCGGCAACCGACAGAGGATTGTCTTCATTTGGACATTTGGCTTCCAATGGGGACACTGGGTTCATTATCTAGATCACCCAAAGGACTTCCAGTGCTTGTGTGGATATATGGTGGTGGTTTGCTTTCTGGTTCAAAAGATGACCCTGGCTCTTCTGGCCAATGCTATGCAGAACAGGGAATTATTTTTATTTGCATCAACTACAGAGTCGGCGCTTTGGGCTTCCTTTGTCCCAGACACGGTGATCCCAACTGTGGACTTTGGGATCAAGCCTGCGCCCTGCAGTGGATTCAGAATGAGATTGGCAACTTGGGTGGAGATCCAAAGAAGGTAACCATTATGGGCCAATCTGCCGGAGGAGATTCAGTCTACTGGTGCGAGCCCCCTCCCCTTTCTTCCGCTAGTGGAAGCCTGTCATGCATTGTGCACACACGTGCACACGGGTTTCGCGGTTTTGCTTTTAGCATGCATCAATTGTTTGTGCATACGTCTATAGTCCGTTGCCGTGTATATGATATGGATTACACAAATTGTATGCATCTATTTTTGGAAATAAGGCTTGCTTGGTCAGTGACAGCTTGGCATATGATAGGTCAGCAACAGTCAAAGTGCCGCCTCGCGACGCCTGTTGGCTCATAGCACGATACACAAGACCAGTTGCCATGTGCTGTGGTGCCCGCGAAGATGACGATGACGACTCTGCGAACCCTGGGCCAGATATCAACCGAAAGTGCTTTGGCTCAAGAGACTATAGTGACTATACACGAAGAATAGCTGAGCGCAAGCTGAGCACAAGCTGGCAGACTTGATGTTACTTGATGTTGTGAGAAAAGGCCTGCAGACAGCAAGTCTGCTGATGGTTGCTCGGTTTGCTGGGGGTTGCAGTTGCCTAGAATGAGCAGCCTGGCCTGACTTGGAAAGGTGCACAGATCTATTCTGCATCTTGGCACAGCATTGGGACACTTCAAGAAGCAACAGCTGACATCAGCTGACAAGTGACATGATTTCCGAATTTCCAGTGCCGAAGGTATTGATAATCGGATGCTTGAGGCCTACCTGTGCTGGTGATTTTCATCTTGTGGCCACTCTCAGTTATTGCTTGCCTTAAGGCCAGGAAGTTGTGTGGACGGCGACTGCTTGATCTCCAGAAATTGTTGTGTTCGAACCACATTGGATCACCGCGAGTGCCGTCTGTTTCATTTGTGCAAGGATGTAGATGGCGCCTATGCCCTGTCCCATGGCCATGATCACTATGGACGGTTCTGCGGATTGAATCACTTGGAGGACAGAACAACCTACAGGACGTACACAATACTTAAACAATACTTAATAATACTTACACAATACTTACACATGTACCAAGGTGATCTAAGCTGTTCTTTTTTTGCTCTTCACACTTTCAAATTCAGAGTGCTGGCCCATGCAACGATAGACAAATCACGCCAGAGAGCTATCTGCACCAGGAAAAACAGTACGTGTTCTATCCGGATTTACAAAATGACTTCAAGCAGGACTCAGCGACAGGTCTCATGAGAGATATATAGATCTGAATAGATCTGAATAGATCTGAATAGATCTGAATAGATCTGAAGTAGTAGGTTTCCTAATTGTTTCCTTGATTTTATTCTTGAATTGCAGGACCCATCCCTGTTGAATCGGTACGGAGTTTGTGTAGAGAAGTGTCCGGAGCAGTTCGAGACCGTCGAAGACTATCAAGATGTCAAAGGTGGGAGTGCATCGAACATCAAAGGGGGGCAGCCTATGAGGCACCCAGAAGACCCCACATGGTTTCTTGCAAGTCGATATCAGAGAGAGGCCACCCAATGTCAAAGCAGCACAAGCAAACCAACTTGAACATGCTTGAACCATCTTGAACTACGTGCTGTTTGCTCGTGGACAATGGGGAGTCAAACTCTGCTCCACGTCGCTCCACCTTATGCAAATGAGGCTGTCAGATTTACCAACATTTCCTTTGGCTGGGCGATGTATCCCATATGATCCGCCTCCAACCTTTTCTGCTGGTGCCGAGCAGCTTTCCTTGAAATCTTGCAAGCTGAAGTAGTATCATATTTGCACATGTGTGATGTGGAACAGGCTGCCAAAAGCAAACAAATCGCAGATGAAACCATGATCCTCAGAAGACGGGCTTGATCGGAAAGGAATCCGTGTAGTGTAGATACATAAGTTACCGACCTGGGCTTGTCCTTTTCTGCTTTCCTATCTCAGGTTCTGTGCAGATCCCCCATGCCTGATGACAGAGGACAGGAAGACATCCTTGTCACGGTCTCAGTATGTCCAGCACTGACGTCTTCGCATAGCAATGCATAGCATAAATCAATTATATATATATATACACATGTACAGATACACATGCCAACCCCTTTTTCGCTAGGCTCTCGCAACCCTCCATTGGATTGTGTTTGTACCAGACCTACCGTAGCTATGTTGAATTGTGCATGTTTGAGTAGTTGTGAAGAGAAAACATCGACGCATACACGCTGTCCGAGGGGGACATTTCCGTGCTGTCAAACATTCACATCTTCTGGCGCATACCATGCAGAACATGCAGCGACTCTCGGAAGGGTCGTTTGAACGCCTAGGCCAACCAACCCCAGGGAGGTCTGCGGATTACAGAAAGATGGCACGAGCAGATTCTGGCTTGTTAGCAAGGCAACTGTGTGCATGCCTAAAAAAAGACGTCAGGGGCGCTGGCGGCATGGACTTTGCGACCAAAGGTTGAAGGATATTATATATATATATAGCTGTTTATGTATATTCACATATGAGATTTTGATGAGCTTATGCAAGAATTTCTGTTGCTGCGTCACACCATGAATGATTTGAATGGAGCGATAGATCTTTGTGGCGCAAGGGCGGTCCATGAATCGATTGTGGACTATTGGACTCATGTGGCTGGAAGCGAGAGTGAGGTTTTGTAGCAATTGTGTGTGTGTGTTTGCGGGAAGGATGATGGTGAGAACCCTTCAAAAGGTGGTGCTGCTAGCTGATATGATTGGCTTGGAAAGCTCTTGGAAATAAGGTTGGCCATTGAGAAGGTGATATGCACTGGCAAAAAACATCAATTAAAGGACCGGATAACCCCACAAGTCAACTTCTTCCAATAATCAGAAAAAGTGGTTGATGCGGCACGGAGAAAGAAGAAAGGACAAAGGAGATGGTGGCGGGTCAATCATTTTAAAAGTTGTATGTGAAGAGTTGTGTGTGAGAAAGTTGTGTGTGAAAGAGTTGTGTGTGAAAGGTTGTGAGTGAAAGAGTTGTGTGTGAAAGACTGTGAGTGAAAGAGTTGTGTGTGAAAGATTGTCTGTGACAAAGTTGTGTGTGAAAGAGTTGTGCATGACAAAGTTGCTTGTGACAAAGCTGTGTGTGAAAGATTGTGTCTGTGTGTTTGTGTGACAAAGTTGTGTGTGAAAGATTGCGTGTGACAAAGTTGTGTGTGAAAGATTGTCTGTGACAAAAGTTGTATAAAGTTATGTGTGACAAAGTTGTCTGTGACAAAGTTGTGCTTTAAAGAGTTGTGTGTGACAAAGTTGTGTGTGACAAAGATGTGTGTGAGAGAGAAGTTGCACGTGAGTGAGATGTGTGTGAAAGATTGTGTGTGACAAAGTTGTGGGTGACAAAGTTGTGTGTGAGAGATGTGTGTGAAAAAGTTGTGTGTGACAAAGATTGTGTGTGACAAAATTGTGTGTGTGTGTGACAAAGTTGTGGGTGACAAAGTTGTGTGTGACAAAGTTGTGTGTGCCAAGTTGTGGGTGACAAAGTTGTGTGTGAGAGAGAGATGTGTGTGAAAAAGTTGTGTGCGAAAGAGTTGTGTTTGACAAAGTTGTGTGCGATAAAGTTGCATGTGAGAGAGAGAGAGGGAGAGAGAGATGTGAAAGATTGTGCGTGACAAAGTTGTGTGTGACAAAGTCGTATTTGAGAGAGATGGACCCACTTGCAGCGTGGATGTCACCAAGTGCCACGCCTGCCACGCCAAATGAAAGTCGATGTCGCCAAGTGCTACGCCTGCCACGCAAAACGACGGTAGATGTCGCCAAGTGCCACGCCTGCCACGCAAAACGACGGTAGATGTTGCCAAGTGCCACGCCTGCCACCCAAAGTGCCGCGGTGACACCGCGCGACCAAGGGGCCCCAAGCGTGCCACCAGAGCCAGCCCAGTGCCATAAGTGCCACGCCTGCCACACAAAACGACGGTAGATGTCGCCAAGTGCCACGCCTGCCACGCCTGCCACGCAAAACGACGGTAGATGTCGCCAAGTGCCACGCAAAGTGCCACGGCGTCACTGCGCGACCAAGGGGCCCCAAGCGCGCTACTACGGCCCAGTGCCATAAGTGCCACGCCTAAGATGCGGGGAACAAGTTGCATCTCATTCTATCTGGGTTCCATATGCAGGAGCGCGCGCGCACATATGTACGGTAGTTGCAAGCGCCATGTACCAAAATGTTTTGACACATTTTGACACGTTTTTGCTAGTGGGAGTATGTGCACAATTGGCAGCTGCATCATGCTGCATCTATATCGCTTGTCTTGGCGAGGCAGATGATATTCTTCTAGATGGATGGCGACGTGAACATGTGACAGAACAGGCTCGAACCAAAGTCCTGGAGTTGTGACAAAACCTACGGATGAACAGTTCCGACTGCATTTTGGATACTAACTGAATCTACCCCGCGAAATCTTGGCTGAAGGATTTGGACAGATTTGTACACTGCTCAGGGTTTGCCGCGCACAGGATCCAACAGGCAAAAGAATATCGAGACGATTTTATGATATTTTATGATATGTGGGTACCATGGTTGTGTCCCGTGTTTTTTCCTAAAAATATCGTCAAAGTCAATGTGCATGAAGCGGCCTTTGTGATGAAACAACACAAAGCAGCCAATCGGCATACTGCACGATTCACTTCGGAACAGTCTCGTCACTACTCTCAACCTTCTTTGCTAAGAGCAAGTCGCGGGTATAGAAAACAGAGCTAATCACACAGGAGATTTTTCCAACATGTCGGATGTGCCTTTGTGCTGGAGAGATCCACTTGGTGATGGCGGCCCATCTCTTTTGGCCAATGCCGCAGTTCCAGAAGAAGTCCAAGATGCCTTGGCACCTCGCATGGGTCGGACAGCTGGGGCAGCTGGGACAGCTGGGACAGCTGGGACAGCTGGGACAGCAGGTGATTCTTCTGACTTCCAAAACCTGCTTGAGGCCCTCGTTTCACCACCTTCAAGCGTTTGCATTCGCTACACAGGTGCTGGAGTCACTGGAGTCACTGGAGGCTACGGGCCCACAGAAGAAGTTTCCATCAAGGCAGGTCTCTGGGAGAGTGAGAAACGAACACAGTGTGCGTTTCTGATCAAAGAAGCGCCTCCACCAATCCACTGCCCAGAGGCTCGGCTGATCGTTGGAAATGCCCATGCTTCGTCATATTGTACCCCTGACCATCCCACGAAGTTTTCCGGTGTCGATGATGAGAAAGATGAGAAAGTGGGTTTCAACTCTTCACAAGGCAATGTGGAATGTGCAGATGGGAAAAAGGATGAGGTGTCTGACATTGCAGATTTTATTATCGATGCTACATGCGCCATGGTTGTTCTTCGGGGTTCAGATGTATTTTGCATGGGTGTTATGGCAGCAAGCCCAAAGCCATTGGAGGGCCAACTTGTTCGACTCTGGGTTGTGCCTGAGGGAGTTAGGCCACCTAATCGTGGCAGCGTTCTGCGCGAATCTCCTTCAAAATGGCCAGCTGTTTTGGTTGCTGGTGGCCGTCTCCTAGTTCCAAGATCAGCCATTTTTGGAGCTGGTTGCAAAGGTGCTGCAGTCGAAGTCCTGTGGCGACGTGGTAGCACCACCCCCTTGGCGCCTATGAATCAAGTGCTTCATGGGTTGCAGGGGAAGATTCTGCTCCAACAGTTACCCAGTTGTGTATGCACACGCGTGCTTCAACCTATGGTAGGCCACAGAGTTCTAGACATGTGCGCTGCGCCTGGAGGAAAGACAACACATATTGCCCAACTGCTCGGCAACTCGGGCCTGGGCTTGACATCAGTGGATCGTTCTCTAGCCAAAGTTCGTCGGATCGAAGCATTGTGTATGGCTCACGGCTTTGGAAACGTCCGCTGCCTTGCAGCGGATTCACGTCACTTGTGTAGTGACTCCACGAAAAGTGAAAGTCAGGGCAACAATCAAATCGATGAGTCAATTTCAGAAGGTCAGAACTCTTCATCTTTATCGCCCTGGCCCCCAGAAGCAGAAACAGCATTCCAACAAGCGCTTGCTCAGCACGGTGCTGACCGATTCCGAAGCAGCAAAAGGATTTGGAAAGCAGTTGTAGCAGCAGTAGGGCGTGGTCCGGTGACTCGCATGCAAGTCAATGAACGACTACGAACAGTCGAAGGACGCCTGGGGGTTCCGCAGCATGATAGTCCTGGTGGTCCACCTTTTCTGGAAAACTCTTTTGACCGTATTTTGCTTGACCCACCTTGTTCAGCAATGGGGCAGCGCCCATTACTTCGATGGGGAAAGAGCCTTGCAGAAATCCAAAGTCATGCTGAGTATCAACGTCAGTTCTTGTGCACTGCAAGCCGACTCCTGATGCCTGGTGGGGAGCTTGTGTACAGCACTTGCACTTTGACTCCCCAGGAGAATGAGGAAAATGTTGCGTGGGCACTGAGCAATCTCCCGTTGAGATTATTGGATGCACGGGAGCATGTGGCAACAGCAACTGAAGTTCTTGCCGGACTTCCAGAATGTGGCCTGAGTCAGCACCAGACTATGCAAGTTCTGAGGTTTGACCCTCGAAATTGGGATGCTGGATTCTTTATCGCGAGATTCGCAAAGGTGAGACAAGACCTGGACAAAATGAAGAGTGTGCAAGAAAAAGTGCGCGGTGTGGAAATGGGACATCAATTTCTGGGTTTTGCAATTGGGTCCGTTTGGTACAGGTATATAATTAGTTTCATGAAATGTGTCTTTTGAAGCGGACTGTCACAAGAGCAAAACCGTGGAGACGCAGGTCATCAAAGCAGCAGAAGATCTGGACCGGGGCAAAGAACCCTGCAGCTTGAAGACGTTTTGAGATTGGATTTGAAGGAATTGAAGGAATGCTGTAATTGGTACATTGCTGCGGTGGCGGCCATGTCATGCACAATCGACGCTGCGATAAGATGAGCGTAAAGCTGGTGGTGAAGGATGCAACGGTTCAAAAAGGATAAATGATAAAGTATTGGGAAATTCACACGTGTACGTACCGTATAGTAGAAGGTATATTATAGATGCACTTTGGTCCGGTCATTCTTTTATATTCTTTTGGTTGGCGCCAATTCAATACGAGCGCTGAAGCTCGGGCCCATCCAAGGCAAGATCAAGGTGCTCAGAGACACACGAGTGCGGACGGAATCGGTTGATGCCTCTCTCATATACAGCCTCCTCACGAAGTACACTGGATATGTGTTCACAGGGCCACTTGGCTCCTGGATGTGCAGCAAAATGTTCAAAATTATAAAAAACCAAAGCTAGCTTGCTAGCAGAAGTTAGCTTTGCTTTGGCAATGAATCGGGGGCAGATGGAATGCATGTGCGGTGATCTATCACGTTGAACTGATTTTGCCCCTGGTGTATCACTTCGAACTATCGCCCCCCGGCGTGAGTTCGAATCCCGCTGTGTGCATCCTGATGACTTATTTGAGAGCTGACGCTCATCGTCGGCTCCGCCGGATTACTTGATCCTCGATGTCATCGCAGGGTGGGCTTGAAAGCTATTGAATGAGGACCTGCGGCTTCAGAAACAGATTCCTTATGCTTGTTTGAGCATATTCATGGAATCATGGAACTGTTTTTTTCTTGAAGCAAGTCGGGAAGGCTTGTTCCCGATAGTTCCTGCGAAGGGTTTTTCCTAAAGAACTGCTGCCAATTTCACCTTTCCACTTCCTGTAAAAGCGCCTCTGTGTAAAGACTTCTCTGTGTAAAAGCTTCTGTGTATAAAAAAAATCTGCGTGTAAAAGCTTCTCTGTGTAAAGACTTCTCTGTGTAAAAACTTTTGTGTGTCAAAGCTTCTGCGTGTGAAAGCTTCTCTGTGTAAAGATTTCTCTGTGTAAAAACTTCTGTGTGTAAATGCGCCTGTGTAAAAGCTTCACTGTGTAAAGGCTTCTCTGTGTAAAAACTTCTGTGTGTGAAAGCTTCCGTGTGTAAAAGCTCTCCGTGTAAAGACTTCTCTGTCGGAAAGTTTTTGTGTGTAAACGCGCCTGTGTGTTAAAGCTCTCTTCTTTGTGTAACAGCGTCTATGTGTAACAGCTTCTGTGAATAAACGCCCTTGTGTGTAAAAGCTCCTCTGTGTACAGGCTTCTCTGTGCAAAAGCTTCTGTGTGAAAAAGCTTCTGGGTGTAAAAGCTTCTCTGTGTAAAGACTTCTGGGTAAAAACTTCTGTGTGTGAAAGCTTCCGTGTGTAAAAGCTCTCTCTGTAGGCCTTCTTTGTGTAAAAGTTTCTGTCTGTAAACGCGCCTGTGTGTTAAAGTAAAGCCCTCCGTGTAAAGACTTCTTTGTGTAACAGCGTCTGTGTGTAACAGCTTCTGTGTGTAAACGCCCTTGTGTGTAAGAGCTCCTCTGTGCAAAGGCTTCTTTGTGTAAACGCTTCTGTGTGCAAACGCGTCTGTGTGTGAAAGCTCTCTGTGTAATCACTCCTGTGTAAAAACTTCTGTGTGTAAGTGTAAAAGCTCTTCTGTGTAAACGCGTTTGTGTGCAAAATCTCCTTAGTGTAAAGACTTCTCTGTGTAAAAGCTTCGTGCGTCGGCGTAAAAGCTCCTCTGTGTAAAAACTTCTCTCTGTGTAAAAGCTTCTGCGTGTAAAAGCCAGTCTGTATAAAGACTTCTCAGTGTAAAAGCCTCTGTGTGTAAAAGCTTCTGTGTCTAAGAGCCGCTCTGTGTAAAAACTTCTCTGTGTAAAAGCCCCTGTGTGTGTGTGTAAAAGCTGCTGCGCGTAAAAGCTGCTGCGCGTAAAAGCTTCTGTGTGTAAACGCGTCAGTGTAAAAGCTACTCACCAGCAGCATTCATCATCATATTTCCTTGTGTGCTATCTTCCCGTCTCCTCCCTCCAGCTTTCTTTCGGGCCACACTGTCGCCTAGTCTCAATCTGTAACGTTGTTTCTGGTTGAAGAATGCTAAGAATGTGAATGAAACAGCGTCTGTGTGTAACAGGTTCTGTGTGTAGACGCCCTTGTGTGTAAAAGCTCCTCTGTGTAAAGGCTTCTCAGAGGCTTCTCTGTTTAAAAACTTCTGTGTGAAAAAATATGCGTGTAAAAGCTTCTCTGTGTAAAGACTTCTCTGTGCAAAAACTTCTGTGTGTGTGAAAGCTTCCGTGTGTAAAAACTCTCTGTGTAAAGACTTCTTTGCGTAAAAGTTTCTGTCTGTAAACGCGCCTGTGTGTTAAAGCTCTCTGTGTAAAGACTTCTTTGCGTAACAGCGTCTGTGTCTAACAGCTTCTGTGTGTAAACGCCCTTGTGTGTAAAAGCTCCTGTGTAAAGGCTTCTCTGTGTAAACCCTTGTGCAGACGCGTCCGTGTGTAAAAGCTCCCTGTGTAATCACTTCTCTGTGTAAAAGCTTCTGTGTGCGAAAGCTCCCCTGTGTAAACGCGTTTGTGTGCAAAATCTCCTTATATAGTTTAGAGACTTCTCTGTGTAAATGCTTCTGTGCGTAAAAGCTCCTCTGTGTAAAGATTTCTCACTGTGTAAAAGCTTCTGCGTGTAAAAGCCAGTCTGTATAAAGACTTCTCTGTGTAAAAGCTTCTGTGCGTAAAAGCTTCTGTGTGTAAACGCGTCTGTGTAAAGCTCCTCACCAGCAGCATTCATCATCATATTTTCTTGTGTCCTATCTTCCCGTCTCCTCCCTCCAGCTTTCTTTCGGGCCACACTGTCGTCTAGTTTCAATCTGTAACGTCGTTTCTCGTTGAAGAATGCCAAGAACATGTGAAAGCATCGCTCGCTTAAAAATTGAACATAAACAGCGCACAAAGTGCCGTAATTTACAGCATTTTGCGCTGTCAGTTGGCAAGAACCCGCGTAAATACCACAGTTTTAGTCCCCGAAAGTGGATAAAACACTGTTATTTGCAGGGTTTCACTCGGGTCACGATCTTCGATTTTTGAAAAACGCGTAAATACCAGTGTTTTGCATTCATCAGGGCAAAACATCGGTTTACAGGGGTTTGGTACTGGTATAAGCCAAAAATTGCGTAAATACCAGCGTTTCAGTGTCCAAAAGTGGCCAAAACACAGCTATTTACAGTGTTTCGTGCCTTTACAACGTTCTTGCGTAAATCTGCATATAAATGCCAGAAAATGCTGGTCTTGCTTGCTGGTCTTGCTTGCGGGTGTTGCTTGCTGGTCCTGCTGCCTGGTTTGCTTGCTGGTCTTGCTCCTGCACTGTGTCCAGTACTCCTGCGGCCCCAAAAATCGAACCACTCCCAGCGGCAAACCCCCATGCCAGTGGGATGGATAAGCTCCAAAATTGCGCCTCAAAACTGCTTAACGTAACCTCGGAAACCGGTATATCAATAAAAGCCAGAAAGTGCTGGTCTTTCTTGCTGGTCTTGCTTGCTGTTTCTGCTGCCTGGTTTGCTTGCTGAAAATCGAACCACCCCCAGCGGCAAATCCACATGCCAGTAAGGGCACGGGGAAGCTCCAAAATTGCACCTAAAAACTGCCTGACGTAACCTCTGGCATGTGCCTATAAAAGCAGTAATAAAAACAAGAAAAAAGTGGATTTGCTTGCTGGTCCTGCTGGCTGGTCTTGCCTGCTGTTTCTGCTGGCTGGTTTGCTTGCTGGTCTTGTTCCTGTACTGTGTCCAGTATCGCTCCGGCTCCAGGATCGAAACGTCCCCTGCTGTCGGCTGGGGTGGGCCGATTTATTTTCTTGAAAGAGCTACAGTTGTCGTGGTCGTCGTTGTTGGTTGGTGGTTGGTGGTTGGTGGTTGGTGGTTGGTGGTTGGTTGTGGGTTGGTGGTGGCGTTGGTTGGTGATGGTGGTGGTGGTGGTGGTTGTTGTGGTTGTTGTGGTTGTTGTGGTTGTTGTGGTTGTTGTGGTTGTTGTGGTTGTTGTGGTTGTTGTGGTTGTTGTGGTTGTGGTGGTTGTTGTGGTTGTTGTGGTTGTTGTGGTTGTTGTTGTTGTGGTTGTTGTGGGTTGTTGTGGGTTGGTTGTTGTGTTGTGGTTGTTGTGGTTGTTGTGGTTGTTGTGGTTGTTGTTGTGGTTGTTGTGGTTGTTGTGGTTGTTGTGGTTGTTGTGGTTGTTGTGGTTGTTGTGGTTGTTGTGGTTGTTGTGGTTGTTGTGGTTGTTGTTGTTGTGGCTGTTGTTTGTTGTGGTTGTTGTGGTTGTTGTGGTTGTTGTGGTTGTTGTGGTTGTTGTGGTTGTTGTTGTTGTTGTGGTGGCGGTTTTCCTTGTTGTTGAAGGGTCAAAACTCTTATTCCCTGGCGCGCTCCACCTTTGCTTGGCCGGGGCCGGCGGATAAATAGGGTTGCTCAGGTTGCTCTCTCTCTCTCTCTCTCGTAATTCTATATATATATATATATGTATGTATGTATGTATGTATGTATGTACACATTTAACCACATATATATATATATAAATACACAGATACGTGTGTCATATCAGCACTCTATATATATATATATTGTATGTATCTGAATCTAAACATTATGTCCGTAAGGTAAAGTAAGGTGAGGTAATGTAAAATGTAAAGTCCGGAAACAGCATGTGTCCTTACATGCCATGGGCGTTGTTTTGATCTTTATACGCGCCTTTGATACCGCTTCAGAGAATATACTATAATTCAAGAGGCAGCAAGTAGCACGCAGGGTGCATCAAGGGCAAGTGTTGCTTTGAACTTATAGCAACAGACGAAGCTTCGTTTCCAAAACTTGCATGCCAAGAGCATTGTTGAAGAAACGGGTGGCGGAACAAGGGAAACTTCCAGACTTTGCTGCCATGGAGCGTTTGTGTCATCGGCTATATATATATATATGCTTATATGTGTGTGGCTATATTATTGCGATATATATATATATATATGCCTAGCAGCAATCAAAAGCAAACATTCAGCTGAGTCTGCGCAAATGACCCTTTGGAAGTCGAATTACTTTTTTTTCAACTCACTGATTGACACTAAAAAGGCGCACCCACATTCTCTCAATACACATCTCTCCTTGAAGCCTTGCCTACCTAGCTTTCGTCCCCTTCGCTTTGGCCTCAAGTGTTGCCACCGAGCTGTTCCCAGGTCCGCCCAAGTATACAACAACAAAGGGTGCCTTGGTTAAAGATTTGTGCTATAGCAGTTGACCTTGGTGATGCTACGCATATTCTTGCAATTTTTTGCATTGTCTCAACATCCTGTTCTGCAGTGGATGCAGCAGCTGTAGGATCGTCCTTGGCTTGGGCGTTGGCGGGTCGATGCTGCTTTCATTTGTCGCATCCTCGGCGTAGCGTATTGAGACTGAGCTGCGCAAATTGGTGGTGCAATGTGGTGCATCATTGTGCATTCATGGAAGGTGATCATCATGGGCTTTGCCTTTTGCTGCCTGGTAGCAAAATATGTGCGAGCGGCAAGAGTTTGGGCTCTCAGGGCTCTCACACACAGTGGTGCTCCTGAACTCCTTTTGCCGCTAGCCAAGGTGTGCAGTGTATTTTGACCCTTGGCTTTGTGCAGAGAGATGCCATTGGGAGCCAGCAATCCAAAGGTCCACGCAGAACCTTCAAAGATGCTGGGGGAAATCAAGTGTGAAGTTACTCGGTCAGTTGTGGACACAATCTTGTAGACACTGCTTGTGTTTTGGCTGAGACATTCGGCGCAATATTTCAATATCCCACAATCACCCAGCCATTTCTCAGGAATGTCTTGATGACGTGCCTCTTCTTGGTTTTGATTTGCGCGGACTACGTGCTCTTCTTGCAGGTTGGAACTGCAGTTTTTATGAGATTGGGCGGGCAGGTGTTCACTGTTGACGTCCTCGCCAGTTGTCACATTGATGGAGCTGCTAGGATGCTGAGGGTTGAATAAAGAGACCACTTCGAGTTAAAGTACAGGCTCGGAAGCGCCATGGAAATCCACATAAGATTTTAAATCGGAGCCACGCGCTTTCGCTGCCCAGGCTGGATTGGTTACAGGGAGGAAAGGCCGCATGATCCTCAATTTTTTCGAAAAAGCTAGCCAAATGGATGTCCCGAAAGAGCGACTTGTCTGATACATCCCTACCAAAGGTTCTTTGATCTCAGATTCCCATGATTCTAAAAGAGGCCCATGTCACCACCAAAGGGCATGTATGATATCGCATGATTCGATGCAATCAATCAGAACTGCAGCATGGGGCCATTTCAATTTCGTGGACTTGTTTGGTGATTGGATGACATTGGATGCTTGTGTTATGCCAATGTGCCAAAATGTGTCAACAATTTGTAATTTGTCGTGATTTTTTGGATGCTGCGAACGGGGTCTTTTGGCCAAAAAAGAAACCAGTGCCAAAGTTCCAAGGTTCAACTCTTTGCTCGAAAAGCAGGTGAACTCACAGGAATGGGAATCGATCTACAAATGGTCATTCCCTCAGACAGAGCCAGATGTCAACGATGATAGCTAGGGAGTGGAAGTAGCGGTAGATCCTTTATGATCTTGTATCATTTCTAAAGTTTCTAAAGGTCCTACTATTTTTAATTGATTTACAGGAGAATTTCTGCTGATATCAATGTTCAACCTCGAAGAGCATTGTGCTGCTGCTACTGCTGCTACTGCTGCTGTGGTGGCAACATGACTTGTGAAAGTGAAACGTGCGCTGTGGAAAGACGCACAAACACAATTTTTGTCGAACAATAATTTTCGAGCACAAAGGACCTAGACTTAGCAAATTACATGTGTGTGCATACCTTATCTATATACTGTACATAGTTTCAAGCCTTTCAAGCGGCATTTTCATCAGCACAACCCTTTACTGATCCAATTGTTTCTTGGGTTTGTTGATTTGAAAGCAGTGCAAGCCTGTGCAGCCTGCGCTGTTTCAAAGATTTTGATCCATTCAGGTGTGCCATTGGCCTTGCGATAGGAATTGTTTTACTCCTCTGTGCTGCAATTGCGATGCGAGAGCCTTGGTGCCAGCGGAGTGGTCACTATGGTAAGCCAATCATACCCAATTTAATTCACACATATTCAATAGACATCGCTGCAATCCTCCAACCTGGCAATTGCTGCCCAATTCTTTAGTAGTGAGAACATGATTGGCCGGTCTAGACGTTCTTCCGCGTTCGATCGCTTTTCCTGAGCCCACGCTACATTACGCTTCTCCTGTTCCACATCTAAGAAGAATTTCCGAATATTGGTAGCGCTGCTGAAAGAAGCATCCAACACTATGCGTGACTTGGCATATCGAACGCCATGCCGTGAATGCCATGAATGCAGCTGAAGACAGAGCAATGACAGAGCAGAAAGAAGATTGGAGCCTACTAAAGTGTGCAGTGTGGCTGCACGACTGGCAGGCGAGATGCCATCGCTTCTACTAACTCCATTCATCCTTAGCTGCAGCATGGTCGGAGTCTCCATCGTTTTGCTCTGGGCTGCTTGCCTGTGTCCGTCCAGCTTGAAACCCTTCACCTAAAACTAACAAATTGAAACGGCGTAAATTCCAACCAAACTTTGGTGTTTTTCAATACAGTTTAGACCCAGGGTGTGAATGTTTGACTTAAGCGAAAATGGTTACTTTAGCCTGGGCTGGCGGAAGAATTTTTACCGGCCGGGAGGCCTACGGCAGGCCCAAATATATTCGATCGCATGTGATCATCATGATCGCATTTTGTCGCGCTGTCTGAGGTCGCGCTGACCATCTCGACAGCTAGGGCCGCAGATGTTCCCAACGCTCTTGAGGCTCAGAGTTGAGCTCAACATGCTTTGTCAGCAGTAAGCGCGCAACATGAAACAGCATTCAAGCACACTCATAAACCACTAAGTGCGTTGAAGATGTTGAAGATGTTGAAATGATTTGAAATGTGTATATATAGCAGTCAGTGGTCAGGTGTGTGTGTGTGTGTGTAACATCTGAACAGATGTAAAACTTCCTTGACTCTTACCGTTTTACAGTTGCAGGAAACCTGTTTATATTTGCAGGGGGCGACAGGGTCGCTGCATGGCTGTCGCCAACGAAGCTCCATGCAGTTGACTAGGATATGGAGTCTGATCAACTCCACGTACCTGCTTTTTCCGACATAGCAAGGGGCCAAGCTCAGAACCCCAACCACCATGATTTTATTCCTCCACGGTTGCCACAATCTGTAGTTTATGCATCAGAACCTTCCTCAGATTCTCGCCGAAACCATTTCGCCGACAGTGTTTTTGAATTTTTGATATATTTTCGCCGAGATCATGTCGCCGATGAACTTTGGGTCATTTTGGGAAACAATCGCCGAAACATTATTTTGGATTTTCAACATGCTGGTCAAAACTCTATGGACTCTGGTTATGACTACGTTTGACAATATTGGATGCCCTACATCGTTTTCGAGAAGTACCTCATGTGGCTCAGGATTTCAGTTCCTGCCGGATCATATAATGATCCATTCTTGTCTAGTGTGATTTCCATGGTGGCTCCGACATGGTGCCATGGAGCCATTTGAGGCAACCCTTTTTAGGGTGAGTGTTGACCGTCTGGAATTCTGAATTCAAACATTTTAACTTAGTAATTCGTCTAAGTAAAGGGCAACAATCAGCCTTGCGGTTTTCCAGCCTTTTGAGATTGTCCCGCTGATCTTGTGGTCCCAGGGATTACTCGCCGATGCGTCTCTTTAACTGTGAAGCCGTGCCGAACTTCAGAAACCTCCGCTTTTTGCAGCAATCTTTGCAGCTACACGAAATCATGTCAAGACATTGTGAAAAGGCAGGCACACGTCTTTCAGGTGTGGTGTCTCTTTCTTTTGATGGTTGTTTGGTGAGGTGAAACATATTGTGCATCTAATTCGTTGGAACTTGGAAGCTGTTTTATGCCATTGCGGCAAGACTTGACCACGGTCCCGGTGCAGGGAATAATCGCACGACAATTTAGGCATTTAGGGACTGAATCCTGTATGTGATTGTCCACTTTTGTTTTCGTCCACTGGAGCGATGCATCCGTGGAACACACCGCCAACGTCATGGCCTGCTCCACCGCAGCCCACGAACCCATCTTCGACGTGGCAGCAATCATCGCCGAATGCACATCTATTTGGACATCCCTCGGCCTTGCATCCTACATGGTCATCCTCAGCTTCGCTCATGCTGTCTACATCAGCTCCAACACCGTTGCCGTTCACCTCATTGACTTCGGCTCCTCATGCAGTACCAGGCCCACAGCTCGTACCCACCATGCCTTCGCCGTTGGCCCCTGAACCAACTATGGTGCACACCGCTCCGTCGACTTTTCCATCTCCTATGGCACCCACCGCTCCACCCACGTGGCCTTCTCCTCCGGCTCCATCCCCTACATCGACTACACCACCTCCATCGACTATGCCACCGACACTTTTGCCCAGTTCTCCATACCCACCTCACCACATTCAACCTCCATTACAGATGGACGCATCGACGGTACCTCCAAATGAGCCTTCACCACGGGCCCCAGCAGTTAAGGCAGCTCCCAGGCCTCGCTCTGACAAAAGAACGGATCGACCGCGCAGGCCAGCTCCGAAAGCCCCTCCTCATGCTACACCACCGGCACCTACGACAGCACCGACTTCATCCGTGTCACCTGAACTTGCATCCCTGGGTTCCACTGCACAGCAACTGGCGGAATCGGTTCGACTTATTCAGGCTCAGCAACAATTGATCATGGATTCTCAACGAGCACAAGAACAACGTCAACTCCTTCCCCAACAAGATGGACCTCCACCGAATCCTATACCACCGACACCACCACCTACAACTACACCACCACTGATCGCCACGCCTCCACCGGCACCGGAAGCCAGACCCACCGAACCGGATGTTCCGGACCTTCGCATTGTCCAAGCTCCAGCCATCGCTCCTCCTCATCAACCACAAGTTCCACCATCACCAACACGCCGACCACGATCCAGGACTCCAAGATCACGTTCCCATCGACCTTCTGTACATTCCCATCACCATCGCTATTCTCCTCAACGTGCAGCTCGACCTCGTTCTCCTCTTCCTCGTTATCGATCATCCACGAAACACGCCAAGGGCCGCAGAACCCCATCCCCATACAGACGAAGATCACCGCCAAGACGCCGCTCTCCCGTGGTTCCTCGACGTCATCGATCTCACCCACGACCACGTTCCGCGACACCACGTCACCGATCCAGAGGCCGTGAAGTCGTACTTCGACCTGCTGCAAACCCATCCAATCCAGCCTACATCCCCACTCCCGACGTTGATGGCACCTGGGGCACATGGAACGACAGCCATTACACCGACAACTACCACCACCACACTGCTCGACCCAATTCTCCTGCCGATCCACCACCACCGGAACCACCAACCAACCCACCAACCCACACTTCAGCACCACTCGGCGCGGTGTCCTTCCGAGTCCCGGACGGCGACAGTGAAAATTCTGAGGTTGCAGATACAATTTCGATCACCAAGTTTGACACGAATGACATCGACCTCAGTGAAATGGTTGAGGCGGCCAATGACCCCCATAGGGTCCGTTGCCTGACTGAGCTTGGCCCCGATCATGTTGTCCCCGTACGCCTATCATTGACCCCGGCTATCTTGCAGCTCTTCAACCAATTTGTGGACGCGATGTTCGAACAGTTGGCTCAACCATACCGCACCGTCAACAACCATCGTATTTACATCAAAGCAAGCCAAGCCACCGTCAGGAATATTGCCAGGGCCTTTGCACAATCCAACTTACTGGACATCGAGCTCGCGAGGCAAACACAAGCCTTCTACATCGAGCCAGAGAACCTGCTGACCATCACGGTTCCCACAGGATTGAAAAAGAAACCAATCTACCGTGGCGAACACATGGGCACCTACCTGATCTACCACAAAACGAGTTGGGAATCAGTTGCCAAAATTCTCGCGGAAGACTGCATTCGCCCGGCAACTTGGACAAAAAACGAAGCCGGCATGCCGACTCAATACCCATGTTACGGGTTCTTCGGAATGTCCTCTGAGATCGCAGACATCGACAACCTACCCGGCTATGCTGTCAAGATCTGTACCTCTCAGCTCTACAAAATAGGCAAAGGACAAAACCCATCAGGCCTGCTGGCCATCTGCCGCTCACCCAAATGCATCCGTGCCCTAGCTGGAGGAAATGACCAAATCCAACGCTTGTGCAACCTTGCGGGCATCGCCAAGGGCAAAGACAATGCAACGGCTATGAACTCAAGCGCCGCATCCATATGCTACGTTGCCTCCACTCACTCGGTTTTCCCGGGCTTGATCACACACCAGACTGCGGAGACCAATGCACCTTCGGAACCTCCTGATGATCATGCACGTCCAGTACGACCTGACCCTTCTGCCGACGCCCCAGAACCTTCGGAGCCACCTCCAGGCGACTCTCGCGATACACCCAGCCACCGCGAGACCGCTGCGTCTGGCTCTCGGGACTATGCTCGCCGATCTTGGCACGACAATGCTTCTTGGGACAATTCAACCTACAGCCGCCGAGATCGCCGCTCCTCATATCATGAAGGCCACTCTCGCGACCAGCACCATGAAGGCCGACCTCGTTCTCGACATTCGACCTACCACTCCAGATCTCGTTGGTGAACTCTTTACCTTTGAGGAGCACCGGAACAAGTATCGAATATTCTACGTCAGCGATACAGTGAGCCTAGTGGCCCTGCCCGATCATTTTGGAGTAACAATGCTTCTCCCGACATTCGGTATTGACGCCACTTCTTCCTCAAAAGGTTTGTGTACTGCTGCATGCTCATGTTTTTGATCCTTTCGCCCGATTCGTTTTCACTTTACGTTTCACACACTGGGACCACGTATTATGTTTCACACTATTTCACTCGCACACTACCCTTGTCTCACCTCGACATTTTCCGCAGCTTTCAATCGGCAGTTCGAGCTCATTTTGACCTATTATCTCGTGGCCCTTTCTACATCATGGCGTCCCAGGACCTGATCTCCCAATTCAGCGCGGATATGAATGGAATTCCTCCTTCCCAGCCCGACCGCTCTCGCACACCTCCTCGTCATCAACATGGATGGCACCAAGCAGTACCTGCGTTCCGTGGCCCGATGCACTATGCAATGACGACCCATCGACCTTTTTGGAACCCATCCGGAATACCGCCTCCACCACCTACATCTCCATCGTTCCCAACACGCCCACCATGGACTCCACCTACGACACCTTTTCCGCCCACACCGCCTCCGTGCTCACAGACACCTCCCAACAATGCCAATTTTGCACCTCAACGCCATCCTTTTACACCGAGATCACCAAGACCTATGTCATCCCCGGGAGCAAGTTCTACTGTCAACGAAGGATATACATGCAGACCAATTGAAATCCCACCAGTGGAGCAATGGAAACCTGATGTTGACTTCCACGACTCCAACAAGATCAATGGTTTGGACTTTCCCTCCAGAATTCGACAGAGCAGATTTTCAAGCTACAAGGACATTGAAGGGATGGATCCTTTACAAGTCCCACTCTGGAAGTTCTTGTACCAGGGCTTGCACAATACCTGGCTTCGTCGGGTTGCATACGGAAGAGAAACCTTCGTCCTTCCGTTTGACAACATCGGCACTACAGTATTTGTGGCTGAATTGGTATCACAACTGCGCACCCGCAATGTGGATTTGGACAAACTTGCTACCTTTCGAGCTCGCTCGGCAGGCCAATGTCTCAACCAGAAGGAAGCAACCCAAAACATGGCCAAAGACGTTGCTCAACTTCTCCAATCTTGG